TATAGAGGACTGTTAAACGAACTTATATTTTTTCGACCGTTTAGGGTGATTAAGTCCTTTAGGTCCTTTAGGTATAGGTCCTTTATTTACAATACATATAAAAAATATAAAAAACATCGCAAATATTAAGAAATCTTCGTGTATAATATGAATTGATGCGGCAGATACATCCGTATGGTAAACCGTTTTTTCAAAATGGAAGATACCCCCACAATAATTCTCACTAATGAGGTACTCTACTACTACTCTGCCAATGCCTTTTTCAAACCTCGTTTTTTTTATCTTCTCAATACTCTATCGTTGGAGAAAAATAGGTTGCAGACACAACGCGATTTGTCTACTCAAATTAATATCTGCCATTAGACGAAAATAATTTTGAGAAGTATATTCCAAGCAATTCCTATCTTCTTATCAGATTTTGAGGGAATAACAATATTTCTTCTCTATTTGCCTAAAAAGCGCATATTTATTCATGAGAGTGAGTGTATTCCACAGCAATTCTTATGCAAAATTAAAATGCCTAACGTGAGCTTGTCTAAAATTTTAGTGCCTAAAATTCAGCATGAAACTTCATAAAATTTCATTAGTTTAATTTAATATTGCAATGTCCTTTAAGCAAAGGTTTACACTTAACATAGAAACTAAATGAAAATTTAATTTAAGCAAGAAGTTGAAAAAATTACATGCGCGACAAGCATAACGACTAGTGAGAATTTTCTTGTTATCCTCCTTGCACTGATTATTCTTTTTTCGTTAAATTAAAAAAAATCCCTCGTACGAATTAGAAATAAACAAAAAAATAAGCATTTTGCAAATTTTTGTAGCAACGATGTCGATATTTGCAGAAAGCACTAGAAAAAGAAAGTCATTCACCAGACTTTGACAGCGAGATTTGAGGAGACCTTAGGCCATAATAGTGTTGCTTACTGAACAACTGTCACCATTACTATATCACTATAAAAACCATACCATAAGCATGAAAATCACCATAAAGGAATCCGCGTCCATATAGCTTCAATTTGCTCGATCTTGCTATATTATTGAACAATTCATGATCAACTGAACTGAACTGAATTCTTATTTTATATGTACCACTAATATTTAACACATCACGGTGAGGAAGCGATTTAGCTAAAAATGGCGTTAATTGTCAGAAAAATAAGAATGATCGGTTTATAATCGGTTTAATGCTGTTACAGCGTAATCGCAACGATATCATAAATGCATGTAACAAGAACAATAGAACAATTTAAGCTGCCAATGCCCATAGAAAGTACTCCGAATGGCTTTTTTATAAGACCAGTTTTCCATATAACAGTTATTAGGCAGAGATTTACAATGATCCCACAGGAGCAATTCTGAAATTAACGACTTAGAGAATTGCCAAAAGAATTCTTCTCGAAGAATTCAGAATAGGATTTATTAATTTCCCATTGAATATTGAGTGCTTTGCATTTTTAGTGAAATTTGTTATTTGTAAAATTTGTAGTGCAATTTTCTAAAAATTATCATTTAAAGGAATAGAAGAATTTTTAGATTTTTATATTTTATAATTATTCATTTTTTATTTTTTTATATTTTTTACGTTTTAGACGACTATAAATTGGTGGAAAATGAAGAAAATTAATTTCAAAATGAAAAATTTAATTAAAAAATTGTCAAAATTATTCTAACCAATGTAATAATTGCACATATGATAAAATCTTTATTTTCCACCATTCCTTATCAGATATGCCAGATTTTTTAAATTTCAAAGATCTAAAAGGCCTATCATTCAACAATGGCGATAATAGCAATCATTGCATGACAAGCAATGACTGAAAAAATAATGAATTTTTTATGAAATATATTTCCTTGAAATATGTTTCTCTTTTCGATAAGAAGGCTGAAGATGCCGCAGAATTGACTTTTTCTAAATTATGAACAGTAATTAGAATTCGATTGTTATCACTATTGCATTAAGGTAGTTAAAAATTTACTTTTTGACTTACTAGAGAAATTAATGAGAGCTGTGAAAACTTTGATTGAACCTATAGCATAGAAGTTTGGAGACAAAAATGCTGTATCGCCTTTCTTTTTTGGCTATCATATCTTTATCAGCTTATCAAAGTCGAAACTACATATTCATATTTTAAAACTTAAATTTACGTGGAATATAAATGATGATATTTCAGAATGGAACAAATACTAATTAAAACTGTTTTCTTTTGAAAATGGAAACAGGAAATACAATGAGAAAAATATGTGATTTGATTGGAAAAAAAATTAGTGGATAGAAAAAAATACTTATCAACAATTAAAAAATGCCTCAAACTCTTCTACAAATACCATTTCTAATTTCAGCTTGCAAATAGAAAATGCCTAGGGGTGAGCCTTTGAAATCGCATTTTTTAATAGGACTGAAGGCTACATTAAAATATTTTAATATTTAAAATATTAATATTTAATATTTAAAATACAAAATTCTAAAAACAAAAAAACCTGATTGTCTTACTCAGAAATAAATTCCGCAAACCCATGGAAAATGTAGAAAATGACGCCAGCCTTAGGAAATTTTGGGCTAAATTTTGGCCTTTAAGTTAATTTTAATTATATTGAAGTCGATTTTAATTATATTGTATTGTTTTCCTTGACGATGGAAATATAGGTCGTCAGCCTTATTCGGATTTTTGGACATCTGGAAGCAGAACCTCACCATCCAAGTTGTCTTGAACATCCACAGAGCCACTTTATTCTCCTTTGCTAGCAGACCAGATTAGAGCGATTAAGCCTAAATTCCTAACGAACTTTGATCATTATTTCATAATAATTTGTTTGGCTAAATTTATAGCACAGAATCTTGGAGATCGAAGTATAGAATAAGCATCCAATGTCTTTCTTTTAATGCATTTAGAAACCTTAAAGAAGTTAAATTAAAAATGTCGCCACATATTTTTTATACAATTAAATAGCAATATTATTATTATTATTAAATTATTTATTGATAATTAAAATTATAAATAAAAATTTCAATGACATTTTTAGATTATTAAAATGAAATGAACAAAATATAAGAAAATTTTCAGATTTAAAATTTAAATTTAATTTTCAAAAATATTTCAAATTAAATAAATCCCAACAAAATTTGTTTTGCAATACATTGTATAAAATGAAACGATAAAAAACGAAAATATTAAAAACTATTTAAAATTATTGAAATATATAAAATAAATTAAAATATTTAAAACCTAAAGTTTAAAGTTTATAAAATAAAATATAAAAAGTGTATTTCCACATAATTTAAAATTTTCGTAACTTAAAATAAAGGCTTTTATCTCCATACAAAATACAATATTTTATTTTAATATACTTATTTTAATATTTAAATTTATATGAAGAAATTCTTCCTTAGAAATTCTAATAATCATTTAAATAATCCAATTATTTTAATTTTGCTTTACTATCTTTTATATTTAACTGCATATTTCTATCCATCTTTTCTAAGTTTCGGTTCGACTAAAATTTCTTTCTTCCGACGACGATTAATTATTGTTCAGAATATTGCCTCAAGCTTCAGAATTCTCTGCTTACCTAAGGCAGAAATCATTGAAAAATTTGCATAATTTTTTTTCACCGCCAAATAGTTCCTTCGTAAAACTTTTTATCTTGTATTCCTGTTGTCCTCTTGTTCTTGTTAAAAGTTGAGAGCACACGCAATATTTTAGTTTGTTGTACGTTGTGATGAGATGAAATTTTGCATGAAAAACCACAAATAAAAATTATTTCTGTTTTCTTATCATTTTATCACATTTTTCTCGTAAAAAACATGCAGGAGACTATTCGAAGTTAAAAGAATCGTTTGCCTTACTCGATTCCACTCGGCTTCATTCGTAAAAATTGTCATAATGCTAGCAACAAATAATTCTAAAAATTTGATAATAAAGTAACGGAAAATGTGAACTTCTTGTAAACTTCAAAGATATCTTTAGGAGATTGGAATATTCCACAATCAAAGATAGGCAATTCCCATTTTTATATTTAAATATACCTTTTTAAATGTTTAAATGTCAAACCAATAAAAGTGAAAGTTTCGGATATTCCATATTCAAAAAATAAGATTCCTTAGAAGGCGTTAATCTACCGGAATATGCAATAACCACAAAACGGACATTCATCTTCGAAAATTCATTGTAATCTTTATTTGAATTTCCTTCACTATAAAAGATAAGTTCTTTATCAAGTTCCTCCTGATCTATTCATTGCTTCAGGACAGTGGACGATTTTGCCTTTAAATATTTACATGTACTTTTCCGGCTCATAGTTCATAGATCGGATTTGCTAATAAAATTTTTTGTATAAATTTTAATAATACGTATGAGGTAGAGATTTTTTAAATAATTTTATAGAAGGATAAAAGACGAAGATGAAGAATTTACTTAAGTCGATAACTGATAGTATGGATTTCTCGTTCACTGAAAATAACTGCAATACCTATTCCGGAATATGGAAGTTCTTCAGTTTGTTTCACTCACTATTCATAAAGATTAAAGCATTGATAGAAAATTGTATATAAAGGGACCAATGTGATAAAAAAAAGGTGGTTTAACATGGTTTAACTAAGGGGTATTATAGTACCGATAAGGCCAAGTTCGGGTATCGGAATCAATGGTACTGGAGATATAAGGAGGTATTTAATACGGCTCAGGAAGAATATTATTTTTATAAAATATGACAGGAATTTTAGAATTTTTTAATGGGAATGGATTGGAGCAATAACCGCCTTTCTTTGCATAGATAGTTTTCCAGAAAAAAGAATGATAAATTGGTTTTAGACAATTAATTTGCAAAATTTGACGATTTCTTATTTCATTTAAGCGTTTGTTTAATAAAATAACATAAAAATTGCCAAAAAATAAATAGAAATTGAAGTGAGATGGTTATTTTATCCCAAAAATTATAATTTACAAGAAAAGCGCACATATCTTGAGAAAAAAGATGGGAAATGAATTTTTGCAAACCCTCTACACTTCATGATCACTTGATACACGTATAACATCTGAATCACCTCCAACAATATCAACTTCAGGTACATCAGAATCAGTGGTACCAGTTGCAGTATTAGTAATGGGTTGATTTCTTTCTTCACTATGACGATACAGAATATAATGTTGCACAATGAATACTATATCGAAAAGCATTGAGAAGCATCCAAGCCCAAATTTAACAGGATTACCAGTAAAGACGCTCCAGTCGTCTGAAATTAAAAAAAGGAAATATTGATGCTAATATTAATAAATAAATAATTGAGTACATTTCTATTATAAATGAAAATTTTGTAATTTAACATTATTATTGATAAAAATTTTAGTAATACCTGTATTAGCACCCTGAAGTATTATCTGACAAATGTCCATAAATCCGCCAAGAAAATCGAGTAAAACGTTGCCAATTGACCAGCCTGTGGTACTTTTGCGACGAAAATTAAAGAATGCCTAAAGAAAAAATCAATTGTTATTAAACAATTGTTATTTCTTGTAGATGCAACATTTCCCTCCATTTAAAATTTTGTAATTTTGTAATTTAACATTATTATTGATAAAAATTTCCAATGATAATGGTGATAAATCTTATTTGCAGAAAATAATTTTGAAAATAAATTATAAAAAAACCTGTGGAAAATACTTCGAGCAAGTAACGGCCATTTTCACATAAGATAAAAATGTGATAAATTGTAAAGCGTTAATCACGTCAAATAAAGTGAGGCAGAACGAAACCAATGCAAAGCCAATAAGGCTGCTTGAAAGTGCCCAACAAGTATAAGAAATTCGTTGTTGGCCGCGCTAAATTCAACATATTTCGATATTTCGAATAATATTCAAATAACAATACAAATAAAAATTTAAAGGGTAATATTGATAAATGATTTTAGAATGATAAAATCAAAATTTCTCAATATTATGACAATCAGATGAGCAATAAAAAAGAATATTAAAGGTGTGATAAAAAATTGATAGATGAACTCCTTATAGAATAAAGTAGTTGCTTGTTTCATCGTTAAACAAGATGGCTGCGACAAACCATGTGCCACCCACCCTTTTCTGCCTTTCCTCCATTTTATTCCTTCTACTCATTTGAAGATTCTTACATCTATCAGAAGTCATCCATAAATGAAAAGAGGAAATATCCGATCACTTGGCAGCAAATGCGATAAACCAACGATTTCCATTATTTATCTTATGTAATTTCCAGCCTCTTTTCGTGATCAGTAATTTTACTATTCATTTAATAAAATCAAATATTTATTTTCAACAGAGGATTTATAGGGAATGAATAGAAAACTAAATAAAATATACGAATAAATAAAGAAAACCTCATAAATGAAGCATTGGAAAGCAGTAAAAATACAAATGAGCAATGCATGAACGGCAAAAATGACATCGTTCAATAGCACAGGTATGAGACTATGAGGATTGCGTTGTAGATAAATTTCCTTTAAAAAATTTTCATTAATTTTTGTAGGAAATAAATAATTTAAATAAATAATTTAAAAATTTAAAATTTTAAAAAATTTTAGAAAATGAAATAAGAAAAATTATTATTTACACTTACTTGAATGTTTTTATCAAAATACATAAGAATGTTGTAAAGCGAATAACAAGTGAAACCGATAATATTCAAAAAGAGAAAATCGAAACTCAAACCGATAACACTAAAAAAAAAGAGAAAAAATCACTAACTAAAATCACCAAAAATTTAGTAAATTTAACAAAAAAATATTTAAAAATATTTTTAAAAAATCTCTTTAATAAAGGCATAAAAGACTGAAAATAAAATTCTTAACAATATATATCGTTTAAAGCTTATTTTTGATAAGTTTAATTTTGTATGATAAAAAATGATAAAAAATTTCAAAAAAAAAAAAATTTCTTAAGTTCGTTTTTTACCTTCTTCGTTTGAAATTTAATATAATTTGTGGATAAAACGAAATGCTCCATGCGAAAAAATAAATCCAGCCAACGACAATGATTAGCACCGAAAGGCTTTCACTATGTATAACACTTATTACAGCGAATGTTCGATTTATTTCGCTGAAAATTTCATTTTTTTTCTACCACTTCGGACGATAAAATACCAACACCAACCACCCTTCTTTATCTTTTTTTTTCCAATTTTTGCCCAATTTTTTATCCTTCTTCTAAATTTTTCACCATTTGGCCGATTTGGCTGATTTTATCATAAATTATGATAAAATCCTTTCGCTATAGGGTAATTCGAGTAGAGTAATTTAATTTTAGAAAGAAAACTACCAAATAGACTACCAAGCTTATAAGATTTTTCTTCCTAAAAAAATATACGACTGGAAGTCTAATAAATACCTAAATGGACAAATTCCAGGTGAATCGGAATATTCACATTTTTTGATTTCTAGCAAAGCGTGACTCGTTATTTGAATACCAGTTATGCTGACGTTTGCTGATCGAGCAATTTTGTCAAGAACAACAACATTTGGTGTCGCATCGAACCAATCAACCCTTTTCAATATTAAATTTACATCAGTTGACAAATTCGCTCTGAAATTTCGCTAAAATTATGCTTATCGTTTCATAGCAAAGATTTCAGGCTTTCCAACGAAGAATTTACTTTGAGAAAATAGAGTCGCAAAATTTGACATTTATCGTAATTTATCATTTTAAATCACCTCAATTAACTAAAAAAATTTATTTATTTATATTTATATTTATTTAAATTTTTATTTATTTATATTTGTTTATATTTATTTATTTTTAAAAATATTGAAATTAATTTGAATTAATGCATATTTTTCCTTTAATTTTTTTCTTATGTGATATTTGTATTATTCTCAGCTCTTTTTTCTTTTTTTCCCCTCAAAGATTTATTTTTTGATATGGCGAATAAAATTTTATTGAAACGTGCGGTGAACAATTTTATTTTACTACTTCTCTGTTGTCGACTCAAGTAATTTCTAAAATATTAGCGCATGGCAGGCGTCTATCAATCCATTGCTCTCATAACAACAATAGGAGCTCAATTCATTGATAATATAAACAATTCTATGATAAAAGGAGATTGTGCAAGTTCAGCAAACATAAAAAAGGATAATCTCGTCCCTTTAAGCTTACAAAACTTAAAAAAATGCTTATCATATTTCACTTTAATTTATTAGTTTTTCGATAGGAAAGGTTAATTAATGGTCTGATTTTAAAATGCAAATGATAAGAAAATGATAAAATGAAATTTGAAATGAAATTGCTAGATTTCTTATCACTATTCTTCCAACAATTTTCTTTAAATTTTCTATTTTTTTTTTCAAATTATTATTTCAAATTTTTTTAATTTTAACAATTTTTAATAATTATTTAATGATTTAGACATAATTTTCGTAGATGAAATATTTATAAACACCTCTTCTCAAATTGAATCCTAAAGAGCCATCTCGGATGCATAAAATGAAACATAGAAATCGCACCACGTTTAGTTTCTTATCAGTGTAAAAAATATGGAAAAAAAAAAAATGAACGCACTCTGTGTGAAGAACGAGTCGTTTAAGCTGGCCAAGTGTGACTGAAAGCTTTTGAGGTTCGATTATCAGTCGATTCTCTTCATTGCTTGCAAAAATCACCATCGAGAATGAAATAAAATAAAAAAGAAACATTCGGATGAACATAATAAAAATCCTCTTTTTTTTTTATTCCATTCTGAAATTTTAAAAAATATAATTTATTTTTAAAAGCAAATAAGCAATAGCAAAATAAATAAAAACACGTACGCTTATTATTAATAATAAATAAAAGGAGAGAAATAAAAAATGCGAGTAAATCCAATAGAAATATCTTTGGATTAAAAGTTATAGGAGAGTGATGGATTGGTGAGGTGAAAATTTAGTGGGCCACTAAATTAGAAAGAGAATAAGAAAAGAATGGTTTGAATTTGGCCCGATGCATGATATCGCCCAACGGCGAAAATGGTGAAAGAATAGAAAACTGAGTTCAGCTTGAAGCGCCAATCCTAAGCACCTTTACTAAAACCAATTGAGATTCTTTGGGAAAAACGGCAAATATGGACCAGTCAGCGGACCACATGAACTTTTAGAAAAAAAAAATTTATCAGAAGCTATTGATAATATTAATAAAGAAATTATGAGAACTGTGAGTTTTTAGGAAACAAATAAATTTCAATGGCCCATAAAGATTTAAATAAAATTGCAATATTTATTGCAGTTTTAATAAATTGCGATAATTAAGAAATTTATTAATGTCTCTTTTTTTTCATCGATTTTCACCTCGCACCATTACGTTGATTAGATTGGTTCCACTCTATGCGCATTAATACCGAATTTCGCCGGCATAAGAAATGATAATTGCGACTGATAAAAAAGTGATAGCGATAATGGAGCGCTTATAACGAACGAAAACTAACTGTCGCTTTCTTCCTTCCTCACTTTCTTTATATTCAAACAACACAATGCACCATTGTAAAGTTTTTTTTTTTTTTTTTGAAATTTTCACTTTAAAAATTTTTTTTTTCTTTTAAAAATGCAATCATAATTTTCAATAAACATTTGCATTTGCATTTTATTACAAAACAAACGAATAGCGAATACTTCTTTTTATTTGTCTATAAAAAGTTCAAAAATATTAAAAAAATTTTTCTTTTCTTACTTACTTTCCAATAATCGTCGATCAAAAGTGAAAAATTTGCAGTCATTTTTATAGTACTTTAAAAAAATATTTACGAAATGAAAAAATATATTTTGAATAAATTTTGACAATATTTTGACAATTTTGACAATAAATTTTATTATTATTATCATTATTATTAATAATAATACTGTTATTGTTATCATTATTGTTTTTGTTTTTTTTAAAATTATAAGAGCACCCACCGTTACTGATTAGACCCGTTACCGCTGGCTTGTCGCACTAGAGAAATATGCGAGAAAGTCCTTTGGTGATAAAAATACAAGTGAATCGCCAGCTCCACCCAGATTTTTCGACAAGTTTATTCTTTAACGGGAGTTGAAACTCTCTGCATCAGCGTCTCGAAATGAGCAACAACCCACTCAGCTACTCTATTCTTCTTTGCTTTCTCCGTTATGCAACACTGCTGTGCGATGAAGGGCGGATGGTCTGTTCGCGGATTCGAGTCCGAGGAACCTCAATTCCTGGCGACATTTACTTCGCCACTAAGCCAATGCATCATTGATGCATTTCATTATTACTTATTACAATTTATAAACAATAAATTACTTTAAACTAATATTTTCTAACAATTTTTCTAAAAAAACTTCCTGAAATCTTATATCAATCACTCTCATTTATAAAAATCTGCTTGCAAAATTGAAAAATTCCTTAAATTTTAAATTTCGAACATTTTAAATAATAATAATAATTCATCTGAAAATCTAATTTTTTAAAAATTAAATAAAATTGACAATATTTATTATTAATTTTATATTATAATTGTATATAATTAATTTAAGAATAATTCAATTTAAAGATTAGTAAATAATAATTAATAATTAAAAATCAGAAAAGTTTCAAAAGAGATTTAAAGATTTTAAAAATTTTTTTTAAATTTTTTAAAATTAAAATTTTAAAATTTTAAATATTCTTTTAAATATTTTAAATATTTTAAATATTCTTTTTGAATGCGAAATTATAAAATTTTAAATTCTCATCTATGTTCGCTTCTTATATACATATTTTCTTTTCTTTTTAATAATATTTAAATTTTAAATATTGTTTTTTTTTAAATAATAAAATCCATTTGGAACTAAAATTTATTTTATTTTGATAAGGAAAAAAAATTATTTCATATCAAAAATAAAAAATAAAGGTTGAATTATTTCGAAATGCGGTCACTTATCAATTTTCTATAGAACATTTTTAAACCATCGTTATTTCCTTCATTTTTCTTTTTTTTTTATTTTGAAATGCCATCACTATTATCAACATTATCATTATCATATTTCACAGCAATATTTAACGATAGTAGTCAATCAGTCTATGAATCCCTTATCATTTTCCATTCCATTATCATTTCATTATTATCAGGCAATCACCAAATTTGCATCATTTTTAAAAAAAAATTTTGAAAAATTGGTCGAATGACGAAATGAAAATATTCTTTTCCCTTTTTTTCCTCATTAATAATCATAATTATCGACAAAATCTTTAAATTAAAATTTAATATTTTTCTATTTCACTTTTGACTATCATTTTTTCGCCAGGATAATCAAATAAAAAATAATAAGAAGAACGCTTGCATAAGCCAATATTTCACCTTTAATGATAATAATGATAATTTTCTTACTTTAATAATATAGCCTTTAGTGATAAATTTTTGATAAATTTGAAAATTTATCACATTTTCAATTTAAAATTTCACTTTTGTAAATTTCCATATTAAATAATTCAAAACAAATTAAAAATGAAAAAGACATATTCGTAGAAACTATTAAAAAAATAATCGGAAACGATAATCGGCAAATGACAATTTTTTTTTTTTTGTAAATTGAAAAATCATTATTCTTTGATTTGATTTTCCAATAAATTTTTAACATTTCAAAAGAATAAATTTCCTCCGTTTTGAAATTACTATTGAAATAATTTGCGAAAAATTTTTCTTAATTTTTCAGGAAATTAATTTTTTTGATTTTTCCAATCTCCTCCTTTGTGTTAATAATAAAATTATTTTTCACTTTCTATTAAAACACTTTCTATTTTTGCATTTTTTGCTTATTTCATTATTTATCCATTAATAGTAATTATAAGCAATAATAATAAAATATAAAAAATTAGTAACAATAAATACAAAAAATAAAAAATAATAATATAATAATACAAATAATTAATAATAATAATAATAAAAAAACAGGAATCAATAATAATTAATAATAGCGACAATTAATAAATAAAAAGCAATAATAATAGCAATAACGATCGAAATGATCGGATCGAGTGAGTTTTAATGCTAGAAAAACTAACAGCTTTTCCGCTAAATAATTATCATTTATCTTTTCTAAATAGATTGTACTAGTGGAACAATTTAAATGTTTAATCTCCACCTAAACTAAGAGAAAATGCTAAACGCTGATGACGATTGTGATAAGAAAACGCTAGCAATAATATATCGAAATACCTAGGAGATAATTGATTACGAGCTGTTAACAAAATTCACTGGCCTTTTCATCTAAAAACAAATTGCCCGCAAGAAAGACGAAAAGGTAATCAATCCGATAAATTTTGGTGTAATCCAGGTGCAATACGATATGATCCAAGAGAACCGGCAAGAGAACATTTCAAAAAATACTCGCCAAACGATCAAGCACTTTGGCTGAGAAGTATTTTATCCATGTTACACCTCTAAACTTTCCACTTTCTCTTCATTTTCATTTTCATTTGTTTCACATCTTTACAATACTATTTAGCGCAAAAAAAAACCTTATTCATTGGATGATATAAAAAAAAAACCTTGAAAAATATTTCAATATATCCGAGGTCATAAAAGTTCTCTCCTATGAGAAAAAAATTCATGAAATCTAGTTTTCCAAATGAGAAATTGTAGAAAAGATAATATTTATATAATTATATTGATATTATTCCACTCTTTTAAAATTTTTATTTATTATATTTAATTTTATTTTTATTTAATTTTTTATTTACTTATTTTTATTTATTTTTTCATTTATTTAGATTTTTAAAATTTAAGTAGAAATCTTAATTCTGAAAAAAAAATTTTAAATAATTTTAAAAATAAATTAATGGAAGATCTATAATTTTTAGTTGAGTAATAACTAGATTTCATAAAATAAATAATAAATAAAATAAATAATAATAGTTTTTTCTTTTTTTGTACTATAAAAAAAATAAAAAATACTTTCTTTCTTTAAAATGCATCGCTCTGAGTATTCAAATAAATCAGAAGTAATTGATTCGTACTTAACGGAAAAAAAAAACCATCAGAAATCAACGAATAAAAATCAGAAATTACAAATATCAAAGAAAAAAATTGAATTTTTGTCATAGAAAAAATTTTATTGTAAATTTTAAATAAAATTATATTAAATTTTTTTTATTAATATTGTATTGTATTTATATTAAACTAGTTGATATTTAATTAAAATGATTAAAATTTGTAAAAATCAAAAAATCAATAAAAATTAAATGATAAAATTTGTGATAAAAGTGAACAAATTTCGAGTAAAAAAGTTGCATAAAAGAATGATGAATAACGAATAACAGAAAATTTTACGACAAATTTCAGCTGTTATAATAATAAAAAAAATTTTTTGATAACCCGATTTTTTTTTTCATTACGAAACGTCATGTTTGAATGTTTTTTCGGCCAATTTTGAAAAAAAAATCTAAAAAAAATCTAAAAAATGGAAAATTATAAATTCGCATTTTCAAAGTGAAAAGAAATTCATTCATTATAGATCAAATAAATTATAAATTCTAAAAGCGCTCACCAATAGGGGTCGTTGAGTTGCCTTCCAGAAACAGGCAAATTTTCGATTCAATTAGCGAGAGAAGTACAGGTGAGTCGTCAGCATCGTCCGGAAAATAGCTCTTCCTGAAAATAAAATTCCAACTTTTTGGGTCTCTGAAATGACAGCAGCAAAACACTGTTATTAAGAAAATTACAATATATAATAATTATTAATGTAATAGAAATTTTAAAAAACTAATTAAGTTGGAACAAATTAATTAAACCACGTTCATAAAATAATTTAAATAGCTAAAACAGCCGAAATCTTTTTTCTACTTCAAACACCATTTCCACTTGAACCATTTCCAAGTGACTAGTATTAGAATCAGACGCCCTTTATTAGACTATCATTATCATTATCATTATCACTAGAATGAGACTATCATTATCATTATCATTAGAATAAAACTCCTTTATTAGAATGTCATTTAGAGATAAAAGTAAAAGCAAGAGTATACCACAAGCAATCATCAGAGATTAGCAAAAATCAAAAAATATTTTAGAGAAAAGATAATAAAATGATTTATAAAGCATATAATGAATTATAATAAATTAAAAATGCTTATTAGGATAATTAAAGAAATTAACTGGATTCCATTAGCTCAATCGAGATTCCATCAAGCTTCATCATTCCAAAACTTATCTCGATTTAGATCAAATTTTAGATCAGAGAGATGATTCAAACTTATCGATCTCTATTGAGGGCCAATAATTTGACCCATATCAAAATTTGGGTCAGACTCGAATTTCATTGAAATCTTAACACCTAAACAACTATTATTATTTTGATTTAGCTCAAAATCAAATTTATTAAAAATAAGTTAAAATTTATGAGAAAAAATTCAATTTAATGAAAAATTTACCATAATATAATTAATAAATAAATGAAATGATAAATATAATGATAAATAAATCAATCAATTTCGGTTGCTACGGCAATTCAAAATAATTAATAAAAATAATATCAATGATAAAAGCTAAAAAGAATAATTAATTGCATCTAAATTCGAGATTCTTTCAAGCGTTATCATTGCGCGAAATTCGTTATTTTGCATTTAGTTTATTATATTATCCAATTGCATTTATCTTATTATATATTAGGGGGGAATTTTATCTCAAATTATCATATCAGATTCTATATCAAAATTTAGATCAGAGCGAAATAATTCGAAATCAACAAATCAAAGTAAAGCGTTAATAGATGAAAAAAATGGATTTCATTTGGTAAAAAACATTAACATTGATAAGAAAATGCGAACAATAAAAAATCGCGATTCCCATTCGAAAACACTTAAATCAGGTCAACCAGGTCGATTCTCATTCATCAATAAATTATCATCGAAATCGAAATGTTCATAGACCAATAGAAAAAGATCCAAGTGATGAGATTATTAGAAGTTTTTACTTACTTATCTATTCTATTACTATAAAAGCTTAAATGGCACTGGAGTTTTGATATCAGAAATTAAGAAATTATTAAATTTTATCAGAGATTATAACTGTAACTGTTAAGGCTTAAATGACTGGATTGGAGTTTCGATATTACAAATTGAGAATGTCGAGGATATCTGATAAAAAAAGGCGCATGATAAAATTAAAATTTTTGCTGCGTATCATTGAAAATCATGAATTATGATCTGTTTTTTTTGAAAAGAATTAAATAAAAATAAAGTTGAAAATAAAGTTCATAGTAATGCGATGATAATGATAATGTTAAAGATTATCATCGATGATACATGTCGCTCAATGATTAAATGATAAGATAAAAAACAATGATCAATAAAATTAACAATTAGTAGAAATAAAATAGTAAGACAATTTAAACAAAGCCAACTTTTCCTATATTTTGAAACCATTTATTATATAAACAAAACGTTCTAATCAATATTAAATACGTTAAATTCCACTGGTATTGTTAATCAAATAAATTCAGAATTATGGTACCAACGGTACCAATCTTTTTCGAACTTGGAACATTTACTGATAAAAAACTTTAAAAAATTAAAAATTAAAAATTCGAATTCGGCTGATTTGTAGCAATCCGAATTGCTCGGTGACGAACTTTTCTAGTATCGGCAGTTGAAGATTTTTCTATAACAGGTTAAAAATATAGAGTGAAGGGGCGATAGAGGAGGTGGTGGTTATCAGTGGTTCTATTTTGCACTGTGAAGGTTCCATAGTATTGCCGAGGAGTTCATCCAAATGGAATTCTGTGGTTGCTTTCTCTTTGCCTTCTACGCCTGGCTTGCTTCTTTTCCTGTATTCTTCCTGGCTCACAGTACCAGTAGTGTGCAAAATTTACTGTCGGAAGAAGGGCCTTCAATAAGCTTAAACTTAAGGTGGGTAGGGGTATTCGGTGGTTCTTCTCTTTTGTGATGGAGTACCACTTCAAACAACTGCTTTTTTTTGTATTTATTCGATTATTTTTTATCAGTAAATTATTTGATCTTTTGATTGATTTTTAATGATTTACTTGACTGATTGATCAGATTTCATGCGAAAAGCCTACAGCAATGTGCAGTCAGTTGGCAGTCCGCTCGTTTACTGAACTCGAGCCATCTATAAATCCCAATTATCTTAGCGATTCTTATGCTTATCACTTTCAGCAAACACTTAAAGGTTAGCTTATTTTATATTCTTGAAATTAATAAAATTATTTATTCATTGCATTTATTATTTATTGTTTTATTTATTTATTTATTATTAATATTTAACAGATTTTTGTATACAAATAAGTTTGTCGTATTTGCATTTGTAATACATTTTTATAATTTTTATAATTTTATAATTTTTATAATTTATAATTTAATTTTGTAATTTTATAATTTAATTTTTATAATTTTCTTTTACAAATCATATATATTTAAATATATTTTTATGTTTAAATATATATTATTCATATATATTAGATATATTTTTTTTATATTATTAATATTATAACATTATTAATATTATTTTTTTATATTATGAATTTTTTTAATATAAAAAATGAATAGTTTAATGTATTTACTCGAACTTATTGTTTTGACTATTTTTTATTAATTCCTTACTTTACTTTAGCTCATTTTTTGTTTAGCTATTTGAACTAATTTACTTTATTTACTATTTGAAATAAATACTTTTAAAGTGGATTTAAATGAATTTATTTTTATTTGCTATTTATGCTAAAATTAAATTATTTGAATCATTTTTTATTGCTTTGCTTTCATTCTGCTTTATTACTTACTTATGTATTTAATTATATAATTTAATTATTAATAAATAATATAAAAAATATAAAAATAATATAAAATAATATAAAATATAAATAATATAATATTAAATAATATAAAAACATATAATTATTTACTATGTTTAAAGTAGATTTTAGGTAAAACGAAAGACTCAAAGCCATTTCCACATTTTTCATTAACGAATTTCATTGATAATGAAGAATTTGTTCAAATGGTTCGAAGTGAACTATTAAATATGGAATATAGTTTGGTAACAACCGATCTTTATAGTAATTATCAAACTTTTGATATCGAATCATCACCTCCGCCATATTTGCCTTCGATTGTTAAACTCAGGTAAACCAGTTACTCTTTTTCACTCTTTTATTTTTATGAAAATTAATTAATTCGGATTTTTTTAAATTTGTTTAACTTAGAGAGGAAAGAAATTTAAATAGTTTAATGAGGAAAAATTTTAAATTAATGGCTATTTTAATTATATGTTTTATATGTCATTAAATTTAAGATTATTTTATTACAAAACAAAATATAATATTAGAATATTAGAGAACAAAATATTTTATATACTTTATTTACTTTAAACACTTTATTTAGAATTTATTCGAGAGAAATACATTTTATTATAAATTCGATTTTTCGTAAAAAAAAAAATAAAGAATAAAGTAAAAATTCAAATAAACGTTGTAAGTAAAAAATTTTCGTATTATTCAAGATGTAATAAATAATAATGTAACAAATTCATATAAAATAATAAAATATAACGAAATTTTATATGAATTAATTAAATTTATTTTTTTTCCAAAAGCACCCTTGTTGTTTTTATTTCTTTCCACTATCTTATCAGATGAGACAAATTTTGCCAGGAAGTCAATTGACGGTAGAAATACATGTGGTTCGCCAGTACCACTCGGAGTACGATTAATAATTTATTTGTTGATTAGTTAGTTAATGTGCATACAAAATAAAACCGATTATTTATAACAAAAAATAAAAACTATAAAATTGAAAAAATGATTGGAAAATTTTCCAGTTTTCCATCGTGATGATAGGCGTTTCCTTTTTAAAATATTTCCTTTTTTTATTTTTTCTATTTATTCTATCTATTCTATTTTCTATTAAGCTTTTTTTGCTCAAAAAAATGAAATTATTGCCGGTAAATTATTTGTTTATAATTGATTTTAAGCAAGGAATCTTTTAATTATTTTTCATTTGAATTTCTCTATAAATAATCGTTGTTAGTTTTGGATAATTTTGTTTTTTTTTCTTTTATCAGTTCATTTTTTGATTTTTATTTAATTTATTTAATTTCAGAGATTTTTTTAAAACGAAAGTACGTGAATGGCTTTCGTCGATATCGGGTGTGGAACTGACAACTCGTGTTTCCATCGTATCAACTATATATGAGCATACTCAAATTCTTTTACCTCATGACGATCAGCTTGACAATCGAGCATTTGCCTACGTATATTATTTAACTCCTCAATGGAAGCCGAATTATGGAGGAGAATTAGCTCTTTTTGATAATGGTTCATATCAATTTTTTTCTCTTCTCAATTTATCTAATGTTTTAAAATTTTTTCAATCTAGAAAAATTTAAATTATTTTTATGTTTCGAAATTTTTTGAGAAATCTTTTGATGATATCTTTAGTGAATAATTATCCGAGAAGGGAAGTTAAATGGATTCAGCCTTTGTCTAATTCACTCGCATTGTTTCGAGTATCACCAGCATCATGGCATATGGTTAAAGAAGTTAGTTTTTTAATTTTTTAGTTGTTTTTATGGTTCATTTAGTCATTAAGTATTCTTGTGAGTGTTTTGTTTTTCTTATTATTTTTTATTTTTCATTTAGAACGAGAAATGCGATTTTTTCCGTTTGAGTGTTCATGGCTGGTTCTATGAACCAAAAGTTACAAGTATTCTACGATTACCGCCACCAGCTAGAAATCCTTTATTAAATTCAGTGAAGGTATGAAAGTTCGTCATTGGAAAGGAAAATTTTTAATGGGGCAACATTATCTAAATTATTATTTGTTTGGGTTGGAGTATTAATAATGAATTTTAGTGACAATTTTTTTTTACCGACGGTTGCATAATTTTCATCATAATTTTTAGTATGACGAACTTCTAGAATGGATTAATCCGGATTATTTATTGCCTGTGGCAATGACTGAAATCACGAATTACATTTCGAATAGTGGCTATGCTCTGATTCCTGATTTTTTACGGGTTTTGTTTTTTTCTGGCTTTTATGTATTTTATATTTTTATCTGTGTGATCGACTATATATTTGCTTTAAATTATTATTAATGTTGAACTGTAATTTTAATAATTTTATTTTTTTTTCATCATTACTGGTTACAACAGTTCCGCTGGCTTGTCGCATTGGACAAATAACCAGAGATTTGCCACCATCACCCAGATTTTTGGACAGGTTTACTCTCGCGGAGAATAGAACCTCAGAATCGGCGCTCTGAATTGAATAACAACCTACCTATCCTATCTCCCTAATTTTAATAATATTAATTGATATATTGAAACGGGAAGAGCGATAATTGTTGTTTTACTATTATTAATAGAATACTATTGGCGCTGTAAAACTGAATAATTTTCAGCATAATAAATATCAGCGTTTGCTAGCTGAAGCTAAAAAGCTCGATTATGAGGTGGAATATATACCAGATAAAAGGTTATTAAAATTTTTTAGAATTTGGGATCATCTCATTGATTTTCATACCTGTTGTTATAATTTTCCTTTAGAAAAGTTGGAAAAGTGGAGTTCAAAGAAAAATTAGATGATACAGCTTTTCTACCTGCTGAAATTATAAGGGAAGCAAGAACTCCTATAAATGATGGTCCTGTAAATAGACTGTATAGGTTATTTGGTTCACGTGGAATGGCAAAACTACTGTCGCAATTCACTGATAACACCGATGAAAATTCTGGTTATTTTAATTTAAATCAATTGATTTAGGAATGTTTTATATATATATATATATATATATATATATATATATTGGTAATAATTAAAGTTAATAGTTATTTTGCTGATAATTTTTTTAAGATTTTTTGCTTTTCTTTGCCAACGTTTCGCATTAATAATTTATAATTTAGATCGGTCATTCAAAGGAGAAAGGAAATATTTTATTGATAAAAATCAACCACCATTCAATAGTATGAAATTTAATTTCTTCATTTTTTTTGTGTGTCTTAATGATAAGTGAAGAAATCCAATATTTTTTTAAATAATTTTGAAGGATATTTTTTTTGAAGGATTTTTTTTTTGTTATGCTAGAGTAATTTTGATTGAAATTCAGCTGAACACAATTCATTTATGGAGTTTTTGATAGTTTATTTTCCTTCTATAAAAAAATTTTCATATCTTTAATACGATTTATTTTAAAGCATGTGTTACGAGTTTTCGTCGATTTAGCAAAACTTGCTACCAACTGATAGATACTCAGCTTCAGGCTGATGAGGCCACTGCCGAAATTGCTGTTGATATTCATGTAATCTTTTTGTTCATTCATTTCTCAAATATTTATTAATTATTAATGATATATATTAATTTGAATTTACATCATTAATTTATAAAAAACTATTTATTGTCACTGCATTATCATTTATCATATTTTGTAGAGCAAAAGATATATTTATACAGGAAAAAACCAAAAAATTAAAAAAATATGGAAAATGAAGAAAATTTTAAAAAGACTAAAATCTCATAATTTTTTGATAAAATTTTTTAAAACTGGTATAGTTTTGTTTTTATTCTAGAAAAATGTTTTTAGCTATTTATTGTCGATAATGTTTGGGAGAAAAGATTTGGAGGTTTATTGACGCAGCATGTCGACAAACCAATAACTTTTGTTCCGAAAGGAAATATGGCTTTAATTTCATTACGTATGCCAGGAAAATATTTCTACATAAATTATTTGAATAGTTCTGCAGAAGATAGAGAATATTTCCTTTTTACAGGGTCGTTCTATGGAACTGACATTCTTGAAATATTCTAAATTCTATTAATATTTGTTCATCATTCAGAAATATTGTTAGAGCTTTGTTTGTTTTTTTATTTTCGTTTTCACCGCATTTGTATTAATTATTTATAATTAAATTAATTTTAGGAGGTGAAAGGATTCATAATTAAGATGCGGGAGTTTTATATGAAAGAATTTCCATTTCCTCTAAGAGAATAAATGGTAGATTTGTTCATTATGAAGCAATAAGATGGTTTATTATTTTTCCAAACAAGTTATCGATTATTTTACTGCAAAAATTCTAATTCCTTACCATATAATATTAGAATAATTTATATTCTATGATATATAAAATTAATTATTAAAAAATAAAGAAATATGAATTGCTCAACAAATTTGCATTGGACAATTGATTATTATGAAGGAATAATAAAATTCAGATGAAATTTATTTAGAATATCGGTGGACCATCACATAAGCACGTCTTTCTGCACCACAAAAATTTTGTTGCTTTATCTGTAACACAATAACCAGCCAAGGCCCATTCTAAACATTTATTAATATCGAAGTTGTCTTCTTCTAAGTTACAATCCATGTGATATCGTTGCCCTAAAAAGGTTTTAGTTTTTAATTAGCCGATAAAAAAATTTTGCGTGAATATATAAATTCCTATTTTCAATTTTTTTTTATAAATCTTAGAATTCTTGAAATTTTTTAAAATATTTGAATTTTTTAAAGATTTGTTTTAACCAAAGATTTGTTTAAAGATTTGTTAATAGAAAATTAAACGATTATTTTCAAAAAAAAATTTTTATGATTTAATAATTTTTAACTTTTTTAATTTAATATTTTGGAAAAAACTAGCTCACATGTTAAATTAATCTTGTTTTGCGATTTCCTCCGTCCTGAAAAATTTTGATAAATTTAGAACTAAAAGCATTAAAAGCAGACAATTAATTAATTAAGTGACAATTTTATAGTGGTTTAGTGATAACTTCTTAGTGATAATATATTGATAATTTTGCAATCTGTATTCTTCTAAATTTTTATATTTCATAAATTTTCTTGGCTTTCATTCCCTTTTTTGTATTATTGGAAATTATTGAAGTGAAGTAGATTTTCTTTTCCGTCTCATTTGTGGACAATTTTTGCGAGGTGTTTATGATATTATTTAAAAATTGACAATTCAATATTTATTTATATTTTTAGTATATTTTTATTATTATTTTATAATTTAAAAGCTATTTGGTTTTGGCTTTTTTAAATTTTGAATTTTTAAGTAAATATATTAAAAATATTGATTTCGGTTATTTTTCATAGAAAATTTTTTCAATTGAACTAACCTGCAAAAATTTTCGCTCTTTTTTCATTTTTACCCAATATTTTATTGTCAGATTTATGAAAATTTTCTTCGTTTTTCTGATCACTTCTCATTTCTTTTCTCTCGTTTGAATGAGTTGAATAATTTTTATAAATTATATAAATTTTGCTATTTGTTTCTACGGTAACCGTGTTATCATCGCTTTCATCATCTAATAAATTGTCGTCCTTTGATAATATCAAATCAATTAATTCACAATTTATGAAGTTATAATTTTCAATATTATTATCATTATTGAGCTCATATTGCCAGCAAACTTTCATCATTTCCAACAAATGTGGACATTCGTCAAATCGTTGGTCTCTGCCAGCACCGCTTTCACCAATCGTACAAGTCATATTATGAAATTGTTCAACACATTTCAAGATTTCTGTACGATTATTCATTTGACATTTACGATTTCTTATTAAAGTAACATTGAAATTTTTTCCTTTTTGCCTAAATGATTCTATTCGTTGCATTTCTTTCATTAAATCCAACGCTTCTTTAGCACGATTTTGCATCGATAAAATTTGATTTAATTGATATAAATCAGTAAAATCCGATGAAAATTTTGGTGAAATAGATGAACGACGAGAAAATTTCGATAAAATATTTAAAATTAATGAAAGAGTATCGAGTTTTGTACTAAATCGATTCGTATATAATTTCATGGATTTTTTCCAATGATTCAATATTCGAGTTCTATCCTTACGAATGAATAATATTCCAGAATTTTTATAATTTAATGCAGCTTTATAAAATTGTGTTGAATTATATTTGCATGAATGATTTACGATTGGTTTGATTTGTTGATTTGTTGATTCGCTGATATGATATTCTCGGCATGTATCAAATCTTTTCGTTGTTGATTCCTCTAAACAATTCGCTAATATTTTCGATACGCATCGATAATCAATTTCGATACAATGCATTATTTTAGTTGTCGATAATTTCGAAAATTCCTTAAAGCAATACTGATCGTATTCGATTTGTCGATATTTATAATTTTCAAGTTCTGCATGAAATAATGGCTCAAAAAAAATTTTTTCTTCTTCTTCATTTTTATTATTTTCTTTATTAATCCATGTTTTATTTTGAGATGATTTTTTATTATTAAAACTATCGAAATTTGTGATTGTTTCGAATATTTCCTCCTTATTTCGCTTAGCAATTGAGTCGATTTTAACGAAATCAATTTCGTTTTTTTCATTTTTCATATTATTTTTATTATTGTTATTTTGCTTATTATTATCAACGATAGCTGTTGAAGAATTTCGCGTTTGCATACGAATTGCAATCGGTATTGTAATCGAATAAGGATTCCATAAGCTGGCGATACTTGGATCGCTAAAATCGTATAAGAATTCGCTGGTTGCGCCTTTTTGTTTTGCATTCACCTCGAAATTAGCTAATTTAATGGTGGTCGTTTGTGGTGATGGCGATGGTGATGGTGATGGTGGTGGTGGTGATGGTGGTGGTGATGGTGAATGGCTCGTCTCTGGATGACTAGTTTTCTGTGTGACTTTACTATTTATTTCATATATTTTATCTGATAATATTGAATATCGTTCTTTGTTTATCTGAAATTTACAAAAGAAAAAATAATAGCAAAGTTTCTGCGAAAAACTAATTTTCCAAAAATTTGGATATTTTTTAAAGAAAGAAAGAATAGATCAAATAGATTTTTAAATAAAATTATTATTTGGAATTTAGAAATGCGATTTAAAAATATTTTGAAATGAATATTAAATAGTAAATAATTGATGGAAAATGGTCATAAAACATTAAAATTAGTTGTAAATCCAGAAAAATCGCAATAAAATTGCTTAATTTTGCGATTTATGTAAAAGAAATAGATAAAATAGTTATAAAATAGTTATTAAAAATTTTCCATTAAATTTTTGCGAAATCTTAATTTTCCGAATAAAAAGATTTTTAACAAAAAAATTCAGTAAATAATATCGATAAAATTATTGAAAAAAATTTAAAAAAAATAAATTATAAAAAAAAAATTAGATTTGCAAAAAATTTTATTTCAAAAATATTACTATTTTACTATATTACTATTTTAAAATATTACTAAATATTATAATATTACTAAAAATATTACATATTTAGTATTTATTTTAAAAAATTTTTCTTTTAAAAAAATTATACGCGGAAAGAATGCGGATTGATAGCTGGTGGAAGAATTTGCTTTTTTCCGTTTTGTACTGTTAAATCATAATATGACCGATCAGATGGCGGATATATCGTTATGGATGGCCTTTGGGCGTATGGATCCAGTGTTTCTGAAATTAGCTTCTGGAACTAGAAGCGAAAGCAATCTATCTTATAAAAAAATCCAATCGTTTCTTTTTTTTTTTCAACTTTTCACCTTCGAAGTTCCCGAGTTTTTTAGCGATGGGAAAAAAATTTTATCTACTAGAAAACAATATTGCAAATTTTGTAACAATATTCGTTTGCAATAATTTAATTGCAAAAATATTTTATTAAAAAATTATTCGGACATATTAACTAAGGTAAAAATTTGGTTGTAATTGGATAAATTAATTAAAATTATTTATAAACCGATAAACTAATTCATAAATTATGAACCGATTATTTATAAAAGAAAAAAACTCTTGAAAATTTATCATTTATGATTAGATAAATGATTAGATCAATGAAAGACTACTTCTTTACCTGTGGTACAATATTTTAGATGAACAATAGAAACGAGAAGAAGAATATGCGATTCGCGAATAATTAAAGAATTTAAGGTGAAGAGGTGCGCATGAAACATCTGAAGAGGTATTAAAATATGTTTAAAATTTATTGAATGCAAATGCAAAATGAAATAATAAAATTTTCAAGAAGAATATAGGCAATAAATAATGGAAATTTTCGATGGTTTTTTTTAAATTTCTAATTTTCACGATTAGTTTTGCTTTCGCTTATCCAAATTCTCAAGGATTTATTGAGAAATTGTTGACTTTAATTTAAACGCAAACTGAATGTTTCATAAATTTCATTAGCGTAAAATACAGGAATATTCAGGAAAATAATTAGAAATATTATGGCAAACACTAAAAATCTTCGCTGTTTAGGTAGGGTACGTTCTTCTCACTCTCTCACCACGAGAGTTGACATATTTCATTACTTGCTAAACTCTATGATAGATGGGGTTAAATGCGAAGTAGGCCAATCAAGACCTGGACTAATGCAATTTGAATGGAAAAATTTTGAACATATAGTTGGACCAGGAACATATGGACTTAGACGATTGGGAAAGGAATTGGGCTTTCTGTTACTACCGATGATGGCGTCGTATAGCCAGCGGCATCAGCCTAACCAATAATGGGAATTTTTAGAAGAAGAAGACGAAAACTGGATGATTAGTAGAGTGGTTTATTTTTCAATTAAGCGCACAGACGAGGAGGAAATAAGTTCTAAATGTTATCATTAAATGTTTCCTATAAAGTATAAGGCGGAAAATTTGAAAAATTAGGCCGGTCAATTTAGTATTTATTCATGGGCAAATTTTCCTTTATAAAGATTTTATATAAAAATTTCGCCTTTTTTTTGTTTCTGAACCATTAATTATGAATTTAAAATTGAATTGAGATATTTTAAAAGTGAGAATTAAATTATGAAAGGATGAAAGTCGTCCTAGAAATCGTCTAAATTATAAATTCTACCATTCATCTTTTATATTTGCATAATGAGCCTCAAGAAAAACGAGTGAAATTTCTGTTGACGCATGAAATCCGAACGCATTATTTTGTCCGAAAATCTATGAAAAATTTTATAAGATTATTGTTCGAAAAATAATAAAAATCAAACTATTTTTTTTGAGCGCAGATCAAATTTACAAAAATTTAATAAATTGATTAATTTTGTTGAATTATTTTATTTTTTAAATTACTTTTATTTCTATTAATTATTATTTTTATTATTATTATTAATTATTTTGAATTATTTTTTATTTTATCTTAATAATTATTTTTATTTTATTTTTATCTTTATTTATTTTATTTTGTTTAGAATTTCGTATATAAGTTTAGGGATTAATGAAATTTTCGAAATACAAGTAAAAATCAAGTCGATTAGTATAACTAATAAACCAACTAACTTCGCATCAAACAAATAATTTTCGACTTCATTGACTACTAATTTAATATTAAATGACCAATTGAACTCTTTTTTTATGAATGAAATTTCTAAAATAAAAATCGGAACTACTTTTATTTATTTACGCGTAAACTTTTGCCTATTGGCCAAAATATTTTTAAAATATATGCATTTCTTATGAAAGAAATGAAACAAATATTTTATAAAATTTTAGAAATTTTATAATTTTACAAAAATTCATAAAGCGAGATTTTGGTTCCAAGAATATTCTTTCAGCTTATCGAATTTCATATTCTTCATTTCTGATTTGCCTGACCGTAATGGCTATTAAGAAGGTACCACTTCACCAGAGAGTCACTTAATGACGAGCGCAAATGAGTGTTCAGCACAGCATAAGCAGTGGTCAGTGGTTATTTTCTTATAGTTCTTTTATTTACTGTAAGCATTTTTAAAATTCTGAAAATTTATCGGTGATTAAAGAAGAAATTGGCGGCGAATAAAAATGCATTAAAAAAATTTAATTTTAGAAAATTTTATTTAGAAGATCGGTCGAATTATTTTATTTATCGTTAAATTTGCATATAAATTTTAAAATTTTGTCTTTTTTATTAATTTAAAAATCATTTATTAAAAATTTTTATTAGTGAGTGGTGAATAAAACTAAACGCTCTTCTACAATAATGGATAATCTCATAGAAATTTCTAACGAATTTAGAAAAGAATTGGAAGTTTTATTAACGAATGTCAAGGAACAAGCAATCAATTCGTTCTTAATTACTTGTGACTATGTAAGAATTCGAAGATTTTTCTCAGCCTACGAATATTCAGTTGATTTTTCACTCATTTTAAGACCCCTCACTATTACTGGTCAGACTCGTTCCACTGTGGACAAATATCCATCCGTTGACGATAGAAATACAACTGAATTGCACTGATTTGAAAAACTGGTTTGCTCCTATGGGGAATAGAACCTCCAATAACCCACTAAGCCGCATTACTTTTTATTTTTAATCAAATTTTGGTATAATTTTTTTTGATAATTTTTAAAAATTGATAGTAGAAAAATTTTTAAATTAATTGGATTTTCAGACCAATAAAGTCCAACAAAAATTGGAAAATAGTAAGGATGAGTTGATCGTAGCTTTACAAGATGTATCACCATTAACTAACGTCGATTTTCGGAAGTTGACAATCACTTATTTTTGGCTTACAATCATGCTTCTCGGAATGACTATTGGTGGAGCATTCGGAACGCTTTTGTCTCCTTTAGTCGCATTGCTAATAAACGATTTCTGTGCTGCACTTATCGCCTATATTATTTTGCCATTATATATGTTTTATGAGTTGGAGGAAGAGGGAGAAATGGCAAAAGACAAAGAAACAAAAGTCGCATTTCATCGTGCACTCCTAGTATTCGCTATTCTAGAGGTGGTCTTTTACCTAAATTTCTGCAAAACTGAAAGACGAAGTTGTTCAAAATGAATCATTCAGCTTCAGATTTTATAGAAAATTATGGGATTATCGGAAATTCAAAGGGCTGAAACTTATATAAAGAAAATTTTTTCAGGGTTTTCTTTCTGGATTCATCTTTTCTGAATACAAATTTGGTACTATTCCGCCATTAGCGGCTCTAATTCCATTATCTATATGCATTACTTCGCAACTTGGCGCTTCTTTCATTAATGAGTAATATTTTGATATTAGTTATATTTTATTATTTTATATTTTTATAATATAATATATTGTATTTATTATATTTATTTATATGAAATATTTATAATTTAAATGGTCAAAAATAAGATCTACGGTTCTTTTGAATTCTTTGATTTCACGCAATTTTTTTTTTTTGCTGGTCGTTTAACCGAAGTGATAGTTTCAACAAAGTACCACTAAATGCAGTTAAAACTTCGATAATTTCTTTATTTCTATTTATTTTCAGTGATCGCAAAAGATTTTTTAATATAACACTTGGTAGTGGAATCTTGGTGAACATTCTTGTTGGCTTTCCATTTGGTTTAACATTCTCCTATTTTTTATTGCTTCTTTGCTATAGCGCAACTGCTTTTGCCACTCTTCAATTGTATTTCAGATATGCAAACGAACAGGTTCTTTCCTTATTTCTCAAAATGTTATGCTTTTAAGCTGCATGGTACCACATTATTATAATTGCTAAAAAGAAGAAAGTAAAAAGCCAGCTAGAATTTCTCATTAAAATTTTCAGGCTTCCACGCTCATCTTTCAAATAACATTCATTTGTGGAGTGATTATCAGTCAAATTCTTGTCTATTTGCTTTTTAGTGGCATTGAAGTTAATGAATGAAAATCAATGATTGCTTTCACTTGTAATATCTAATGTTCTAATAAAAATAAAATAAAATAAAAATGAAAAAATTTGTGAAGAATGATATAATTTTTGCAACTTCTTAGTTGCATTGCACATCTGAGAAGGAAGCTCGATACTCTCGCTAAAATCATAAGCTATCATAGCTTTGAATTGCGCGGATTAGACCTATTATCAAGAGCGAAATCAGAACGACACAGGAAGTACAGCAATAGTTCCCTTCTCTCTGCGAACGACTCTTGGCGGAAGATCTCATCTCTTAGAAGTCACTAAAATCACTAGCCAAATCGGAAAACAATCAATGTTTTATGCTCAATCGGAAAAAAGTCGGTCAAAAACAAATCACCTAGAAATGGTCGTACAACATATTTTGCGCTATCATTGAAATATATAGCGAAAAAAAATTTTTAGCTAGCGTCGTATGCTCTTTAGATTTTTTACTTTTCTTCATAATTTTCAGTGATTTGTCATAGAAAAATTTTTATAAAAATCTACTAAAAAAGCTTCGAAATATTATGGAAATCCGTAAAAAAAATAGAAAATAAGACGACCATATAAAATAAAATTTACGTGGATTGCTATAAGTGAGTGGATTAAATGAAAATTAAATGAAAAAATTGAAAAAAATTTAAATTATTCATTTTATTGGAAAAGTTAATTAATTATTAATTATTAATTTATAAATTATTAATTATTATTATAAATAATATTAATTAAGTAATTAATATTTTTAATGACTCAAATTTAAAGAAAAATTGAAAGAAACAAATTTATATTCTTTATTTATATATAAATATTATTAATTATCTTCTTAATTAGAGGTTTAAATTAAATTAGAGTTTTTTTTTCACTGTTTGTTATTTTTAATTTTACTTCATGGCTAAGGACAATTTTTAATTTGAATATATAATTAAATAAGATTATTACTTTGTCAAATAGTAATAACAATTTTTTAATATAAGTCTAATAAATCCAAATTATTAAAATTAAAATTAAAATTATTGAATTATTTAAATATTTATTAAAATATTATTATTTATTATTAATTATTATTATTAAAATATTATTATTTATTAATTATTAAATTATTATTATTAAAATTATTAATTATTAAAATATTATTATTTATTCTTATTCATTCATTATTCTTGATTTGCATGGCCCTAATGATCTAATTTAAAGAAGATTTCATCATAAGGCCAAGAGGCATAATGATTAGGTTAAGGCTATTCTCTCATTAGAGAAGGAAAGAGCAAAATAGGGGGAATAGATGTAAATCCCAACGCTCGGGAAGTAAATTATTTTCACTATTTGCCTCATAATTGGTCAAATAGAAAAAAATTACGTGAGATTCGATTGCTCTTATATGGTATTATATATGAAATTTTTTTTTGCCCATTTCGTATCTAATTTCTTCCTCGAACATAGATGAAGAAAATCGCTGTAATACTGGAAGAATTAAATATTTTTTCCTAATTTTTTTTTGAAAAACTGAACGTCAATAGCAATTAACTTTTAGATAATCACATTAATCAGTTCTCATTAGCACATTCATTATCATCACACCGATCCAGTAATGATTCTTCGTCCAGTAGAACTCCAATGAATTTAATGTTTCCATTAATTGGGTCTATTTCTCAGAGAGACAAATAGGTGAGGTGTATGTTGGTGTATGTCTAAATAAAAATATATCATCACCAATCATCAAGCGGATTTAATTTTTAAATATATTTAATAATAAAGTAACATAATATAAAATAATAAAGTAATAATAAATATTTAATAACTAAGAGGCTTAAATCAAATTAATTAAATTAATTAAAAATTAATTGTTGAGGCATTCGTCGCTCTCTCTCTATTATCACCAAATTTAACCTTTTAAGTTGAAAAAAAATTTATTTATTTAAAAATGATAAAATTAAAATAAAATAAAATAAATAATTAAAATAAATAATTAAAAAATAAATAATTAAATAATAATTTAAAAAAATTTGAAAAATTTTTACGATCATTTAAATTAAATTCATTCATTCATTATATTTTTTAAAAGTTAATCACTATTTTCGTTATCGAAAAAAAAAAACTTCCGAAGCTTTTGTTATGCAATATTAATTAACAAAATCGAAATTTTTACTGAAATTCGTCTAATTTTTTTTTTCTCCAAATTCATATAAATCATAAGTGTTTCTTTTTTTTTTTTTTAAACAGCATTCACCATTATTGGTTAGACTCACTCTGTTGGCTTGGAAGATAAATATGCCGGGGATATCTTTAACAATAGAAGTACAGATGAGTCGTCAGCTTCACCCAGATTTTCTGGACAGGCTCACATGTTTACTTCTGCGAGGAATACAATTTCGGCACCGGCGATCGGCGATCTGGGCAACCCACTGAGCCATTCTAATCTCATTTCATATTATGTTTAGATTAAATTTATTAAATTTATTAAATTTTTTTTTATTTATTATATTTGGTTGGTTCCATCGTCTGTTAGGATGAAATTATTTCATTGTAAAGTTGCCATTAATAAATAGAAGTACCATTCATATTATGAATAGCTGAAAAGCCATATGGTTTTATTCAAATGTGGTTTTCATAATGGTTTTGAACAAAGATAATTCTTACGTTGTTATACTTGTTTTGCAAAAATTTTATAGCTTATATGACTTATAGGCTATTTAGGAATAATACGGTGTAAAATTAAAGATGCATACTTACTTTATAGTGGGGATAGAATGGCTCATTGGGTTGTTGCCTAATTGAAAAAGCCGTTGCTGAGGTTCGCTTCCCCGCAGGAATGTCTGATGCGACAAGCCAGCGGAGCGAGTTTAATCAGTAATGGTGAGGACTTTTAAAAAAAATTTATAGTATATTTAAACAATGGATGCTCAACTATGATCAAAATTAATGCCAATCGTAATCAATTAATTTAAAATTGAATAAGCATTATTTTAAGTTTCGATATTATTTTTTTAATTGTTTTCTATAATTTTTCTCGAAACCAACTTAGGTCACCAGGCCTTTGCATCTTCGATTATAATCTTATCATTGATTCAATTTTGCTCTATGCCATATTGTAAAATATTTTGCATCATTATAAGAACGGTATGTGTTGCTTTGACAGAGGTTAAACATCATGGTTTAAGACATAATCTTCGATAAGAATAGATCTTTTATTAAAATCGGAGTTTATGTGATCCTGAGGACCAGTCTTTTGCCTTCATTCCCATCCTGATTTTTATGCAAAGATCTTATTTTAGTAGTCAGTAGAGCCAGTTTAAGAGGAAAAGAAGTTATTTTGCATTTTTACAGATATTTAAGTCTAAGTTCAAAACCGAAATAAAAATATAAAAAGATTGAATGCTGGAAATTATTTCCCCGGCCAGATTTTTTTGGCTAAATTCTGCAGCAGGTGCAACTATTATCCGATCAACGCATTTAGCTTTTTGTGATGGCTTTTAATATTAGTTTTTTTTTTTTTTCAATTCTTTTCAACAGGATTATATGAACACAAAAATTTCTTTCATCCATTTCGATAATATTTATAAAATTATTTAAAATTATTTTTATTTACTATTTCAGTTATGAAATTTAGTGAATCGGTCATAATCGCTTTAAATAAAATATTTGAATTTTAAAATTTTAATTGTTTTTGGCAGCGATATTTTTTATTATCAGTGATATTTCCTATTATCAATGATATTCCAGTTAATATCGCTTAAAATTCTTAAAAATTGGAAAAAAATAAGCATATGGAAATCATGGTTGGAACATTCGTAAAATTTTAGCTGGGATGAGCAGTAATCGATGTACCTTTCGGGAAATCTTTGCCAAATATTTCGTCAAATCATCGGCCTATTCGTAGTGGTTAATAATAATAATCTGACCGATGAAAACTATTGAAAAATTTAGCGAATCTTTTTTGCTGAAAATAAATTTTCACATATTGCACTATTCATTTTTGAATCTAATTAAATTTATTATATTTATATTTTTTTAATTATAATAATGAAATAATAAAAAAATATTTCGAAAAATTTCTTAAAAATCTTATAAATTTTATAATTTTATAAAATTAGTTTAATTTAGATGAATTTCATGAATTAATCAAGCATAACAAAACAAATATTTTTATTTTTTATTAAAATTCATTAAAAAAAGATAAAAATAAATAAATTATAAAACGAGTAAATGCATTTAATTTGTCTCGAGAAAGAATTATTTATATTGATCATCAACATTATTTCGTTTCATTTCATTTCATTTGTGTCTTTTCCTAACGAGGAGTCACTAGTCATCATTCCATAATTAATTCCATACGAATTCATTAAAGTAAAAATTACAAGATAGATACTTCGTTCGCTTTAAGTAAATAAGTATATAAGTAAATAAAGTTTCTATTCTTTTTTACAATGGAACTTCGATGTAAATTTATTAGATTCATTTAGGTTAGCTGAATGCGTTAACTGATGAAAATCTTTGGAACTTTGTAAGCTTTTTTGATGAAAATAATTTTTTATGCCATTGCTTCATTCATTTTTGGGCCTAAATGGCAAATGGAATGAAGGTACGTCGATATTATTTGGATATTTGGATATCTTTTTCTTTTTAGTGCTAATGATTAGGTTCATTTCTCTACTTTGTCAGGCCAAATTGACAAATTTTGCCAGTAGGTTACTTAGCGATAAAAAATATAGATGAGTCATGTGTAGCAACTTGGTTTATGATAAGTTTACTACTCCTGGAGTCGGTGCTCAGTCTCGACGCAATAAAATATAAGTCATACCATCTATTTTTAAATATTAAATAAATTAATTTTAATTTATTATTAGTTAGTGATAAATGAAAAATATTGGATTGAGTTCTTATCAATATTATCAGATTACGGTTTTTTTAAATTTATTACTATTACGTTTTTTTTAATTTTCAAAAATTCTTGACTTGATTTTCTTCTTTTTGGCTTTTTATGGGCATTCACCATTTGTGATTGGATTTGCTCTATTGGTTGTTACTATGTTTTGCTAGAAAATTATTTGAGAACAGAAGTACACATGAATTCCCACCACCATCTGGTCTCTTTGGATTGTTAAATTGATAAATGTTCTTAATAAGAAATAAAGAAGACCACCCTTTTTTCTCACCTAATTCATCAAAATATTTCAGCTAAATAGTAATAACAAATATTTTAGTTCTTGCTTACTTAATTATATAAATCAGCACTAATCACGATTATCGTCTGATAAAGGTTTTCTTTCAATTAATGCTTCCTATCATTACGAGTAATAAAATTCTTATTAGTAATGAGAATTTTTAACGATCTCACCGAAAAATTTTACATTCGCTGATTTTTTGATTTCGATATATTCCAATAATTTTGAAAAATTGAAAGAATTAGCTGAGAATTTTCTTATTTATTTTAAGAGAATTTATCTTCTTTAACCATTTAAATTTTAAATCACCTCGAATTATTTTCATATTTTTTTAAAAATACATTAATATTTTTTTTTAATTTTTCATTTTCAATTTTCTTGAAAAACTGAATTATTTCGAAAAATTTAGCAAAAATTGATTTAATTTAATTTAATTGAACAATAAATCTGTTTTTATAAATTTCAATTTATTAGAAAGATTTTCATTGCCAAAACAGGAAATTTCAAAGCTAAATTACCTTAAATATTGCAAATAACAATATTTTACATTCGCCGTCTGATAAAATTTATTATTTTATTAATCATTCACAAATTGCAATTTTATTATATTGTAAAAAAGACTGAGTGATAAAGTGCGATGATAACGAGAATTTGCTTTTATAAAAAGATTATCACATAGGGCACTTTAATCTTGGAGGGTGCTAGATATTCATTTTTGCTTCTATCCTTATCCAGGCCATTGTGCCATCTGGCGAATGATCTCTCTTGTTTTTGCTGAACTCTTATCAAATAGCATTAATTTTTTAGTTTGAAGAAAATAATTCATAGCGAATTTATGACGGGCTAAAAGTTGGTTTATTTTGTTGTTATTGCATTGTCATTATTTAAAACATTTTTTTTTAAATAAATAAATATTACATTTGTCGAATGCTTTTAAATATTCTGTTGGCGGTTCCACAAAATCAACCAAAAGGAAAATATTAAATGCCCTTAAGGAGGAAGCTGTAGTACGTCTACCGCTTATCTCTATTTTCTCTCTATTTTATCTCTATTTCGATAAAAACTTCTTGATTCGTAATCACGAAAATTTATGGTACTTATAGCAAATATCTGGTAGTAATAGCAAATATCTTTTTCTCATTCTTAAAGTATAATATTTTATTACAATATATTATTTTTATTATAGTTTATATATTATTTAAATATGTTAAGATTAATTCATTTTTCACACCCAAATCACTTGTTTTATGTAACGAATAGGCAATTTTGTCGGGAAGAAATTAGTCAATTATCATTATTCATATTAACCGTCGTGAATCGCCTTAATTTCGCTCAATCAAAAAGCACAATAATTCTGCAAAATCTCATTTAATTCGCACATAAATTCATTGTGCACTGCAAGAATTTTGTTTAAAACATAATGAGAAATATAATTTAAATAATATAAAATGAAATAAATGCCTAATTAATATTATTAAGCTATATAAGCTATATTATAGCAAATATAGCTTTTATCGTGTTGCATATTTAATAATCGCGTTTATTTCCCTTTTAAAAAGATTATTTAATAGAAAAAGAAACTAAATAAAATGGAATAATTAAATTACTTTCGATTATTTTTTTTTAAAATTATTTACAAAAGTAAAAAAAAAAATTTTAATTTTTCAATTAATTTCAATTGAAAAATTAACAAAGATTTTAAATTGAAAAGAAAAAAAAAAGTTTTTATAAAAACTTATAAATTTAAAATTAGTTTCTCTTTTTTTCTTTTTTTTGAAAAAATTGAATAATTTTGTTCATTAAATTATCGTTTAATTTAATTTAATTTAAGATTTATATAAAATATAATTTTAAAAAAATATCTTTGAATGCCAATTACTTACAATTGTTTCTTTTTTTTTATGAGAAACTTTTTTTTATGAGAAACTTAAAGCATTTTATTTTAAAAAAATAATAAAGCGTTGAAGATAAATATAATTTTATTTAATAATAGACAAAATAAAAGAAAACAAATGAAATTAAATGCTTATGAAATTAACGATTATTTATTAATAATTCTATTAATTCCTTGCATTTTCGCATTTGCAAAATATTCCTTATATTTTTCAACTTTTTGCAACAAATAGTTCAAAAATAAATATTTTTAAAATTAAAATTAAAATTAAGGAGGTTATAAAACATTTTTTTTCAATATTATCATTTTTCTATTCCAATTGTTTATATTTATTTTATATTTTTTTTCTAAGAGCGCTCATCATAGCTGAATTCCTAGTTTGTAAAAAAATTTTGTCAGAGACTGGAATGGAGTTGGAACTACAAATGAGTCGCCAGTAATAGACGGATTTTAGATAAATCTTCCCCTATGGAGAATGGAACTCCGTCAGCATTTTGAAATGAAAGCGATAACCCACTGAGCTATTTTATTTTATATTTTATAATGTTATTTTATATTCGTACTAATTTATTATTATTTGCTTATTGATTGTTTTTTATTATTTATTTCCACTAATTTTTATTTATTTATGCTTATGCAATTTTCCATTTTCCATAAGGCATTTTTTTTTTTAGAATTTTTAATAATAAGCAATTATGTATGCAAAGAAAAATAGCATAGGAATTGCTTTTGAGAAAAAAAATGAGTTTTTAATGAAAAATTTTCAACTTATTATAATAGTTGCAGAAACAGAAAATGACAGAAAATTTCATGCTTGGGCACTCATTATTTTCCGCATTCAAGCCATATTTTCGTACGGCAGAGTGGAAACCTATTCAGCACAGCATAAATGTGAGGTAAAATTCATTGAAAAATTTATTAAAATAATAAATTTATAAAAAAAATATCGAAAAAAAGATTTTTCATAAAATCTTATGACTCTTACCTGAAATAATGCAAAATAAATATAAAATTTTCATGAAATCTTTATGAATGAATTTAAGAAATTTCGGATGATATGCAAGCAAATTGCATAAATTTCTTATATTTTATATAATAATGAAAAATTTATAAATATTTCATATAATATTGTAGTGAAAATACCAATTTTCAATAATAAAAATTCTTTTATTTTGAAATGATTTTTATTAAATTTAATCAAATTTTTTTTTCTTATTTAATCCGATTACTTCATTCAAATACTTCGAAAAATTCATTTCAAATATTATTGAATGAATAAATGAGTTGATTGATGTTAGTTTTCATGTTGAAAATTTCCTTCATAAATTAAATATTTTTCAACTATTTTCGCAAATAAAATAATAAAATCTCTCGTCACAAAAAAGAAAAAAAAATGAATTTAGAAAAAATTTTTTGAATGAAAAAATTATTTATTAGAATCCATAAAATTAATAGGCAAATAGATTTTTTATAAAAGTTTAGATTTTAAATTTTAGTTTAAATTTTTGAATTATCAGATTTTAATTAAAAATTTTCAAATATATTGAAAAATACATTCTTAAATGCATAATGCATACATTCTTATTAAATTTTTCTTGTAATTTTATTTTATTTGTTTATTTAATACTTTTAAAAACTAATTAAATTTTAATTTACTTATCATTATTTCTTTGATAAATTTTTAGTGATAAGGCTTGAATTCTATTTTTTCGAATTTGGACTTTATTTTTTGACCGCACTATAATCATAAACTATAAACTATAAACTATCAGCTAAACTATTTCATTGTGGCAAATAATAATTTTCAAAATGAATAATTCCAAAGTGAACTACGATAAAACTTAAAAAATTTAAAATTAAAATTAATATTATTAAAATTATTAAAATTTATTAAATTTATTAATTTTAATAAATTTATTAAAATTTATTTTTTCAAATTCCAAATTAAATTCAAATTTACGAATTCTATAATAATATAGAATAAGAAAAATTTCGAAATTTTTACATATATATATTTTATATTTTAACAGACAACTTTCTTAATTATTAACTTGTTTTCAATTTTCATTTTTGAAATCAATTTAAAATTGTCTCATTAATATTTCGCTACAAATATAATTTTGTGTCATAATTGAGCACAAATTATTAGCGCTCTCGAATGAGAAAGAACAAATCGAGAATTCATTTATAAAAACGATTCGTTTCTTGTTGATTCGATCTTTCGAAGAGAATATCATAATAATTGTGATTTAAAATACCAATGCGTCGATTCGCAAACCCATCTAGAAATTCTTTATTATGGGAATGATTTATATGAAAATTGATATTTTTTACGCTAAAATTAATCGACAAATACACATAATTGATCATAGAAAAATTTTTATTTTAGAATTTTTTAAATATTTAATTATTTTTATTATATAAATTGTAAATTAATTATTTAGATGAATAAATTATGCTGATAAGAAATTCTACTGATAAGAAATCGTTAAATAATTTATAATTTATGTTTTATAGTAAGGAAACTGCCGGTCCTTCGGCGTCACCTGAAAAATCTTTATGCAATAGCAAATCAAACTGTAGAAAAAGACAACGAACAACTTTTACGCCAATACAAGCCGATGCACTTGAGAAAGTAATTTTTTCGATATTTTTTTGATATTTGAATCAAAATACTCGATTCGATTTTTTTTCCAATAATTTCAATAATATATTTCACATTTTTTCGCTATGGAATTTTGGATTGTTTTTTTTTAACTTTGCTTTTTTATTTAAAAAAATTCATTTTTATTTGCAAAAATAATATTGAAAAAATAATTTTTCATAAATTTTCAATAGTTACTTGTCATTTTTCGATGAAATTTTCGAAATCACCAAACCATACAGAAAAATAAGATAAGAATAAGATAAGATAAGATAAGAATAAGGTAACGTGTTGTTTCGATTGAAATCAACCGTCGTGGATTCGGTCATATCTCAGAGTCGTTTATTTTATTTTTTTATCCTCTCGCTAACTCCTTGATGAACGATTTCATCCTATAGTTAATGGTGCTAGCAAAATAGAACCAAAAATGGTGAATGTAAATATATTACTAGATAAATGCTACACGATAAGCATATTAATTCGCACCTTAATTTTTATATAAGCATAATTTTACGCACTAATATCATTCATTTAAAATTTACATTTTTACATGGTATAAACTATTTTTTCATGATTTTTTTCCCACTGCAAAAAATTTTTCAGAAATAATAAGTGACTTCGGCAAATCGCTATAAAACAAATTAATTGGATAAAATTGAATTTCTAATAATAATGTAATTCAAAAAAATTCTTATTATTTAACCATTATTATTTTTTATCAAACGTAATATATCACCGAATTTATTTTATTTTTATTAGAATTATTAAATGAAATTACATTAGAAATTATTAAAATTAAAATATTTATTCAATCTAAACCTTCTAAAATGCTTCTGAATTGAATTTTTTTAAGAATTGAATTGAATTTTTCAAGAATTCTCACCATTACTCACCTGATTAGACTCACTCCGCTGGTTTGTCACACTAGAAAAATATGCCAGGGAGTCGCTTGGAAGTGAAATTAAGTTGCCAGCACCTAGATTTTTGAAAAGGTTAATTCGTACGGAAAATAAAACCTCACCACGATGGCTCGAATTGAGCAACAACCTATTGAATTATTCTACTCCTTAATATTCTAAAGTGCCTCTAAACTGAATTTAATTAATTTGATTTGGGAATAGGATGGATGAATGGTTTCCGGTTCTGAGATTCTATCTGCAGCACGAATAAATCCGTCTTTTAAAAATTTCAATAATATTGACGACTCATCTGTATTGCCAAATATCAAAATTTATCCGGCAAACCAATGGGACAAGCTTAATCAAAAATAGCAAGTTCATAGAAAGAAGGTTGAGAAAAAATTAATAGATTCAAATTCCTCTATGGTGAAAAAAAGTAGGGTCAGGATTCGAGTGTATAGTGATTTAGATTATTATGTTGCGATCCTTCCTCAGAACAAATGTATTAAAAAATCTAAGTTATTTAATAACATATTTTCTATCTCTTTCTTGAAACAAAGTCTGGAAAAAAATCAAAAAAGATTATATAAGAGACCAAAATTAACGAAAATATTTGGCTAATCATAATAGATAAGAACGAAAATGGCTGATAACAAATTTTCAGGAATATCTTATCGATCAATACATGCCTCGTACTAGGCGAGCCTTAATTGCTAAATCACTGGGTCTTAATGAAGGTCAAGTAAAGACATGGTTCCAAAATCGTCGAGCAAAAGATAAACGTAATGATAAGAATTTACCACAAAATATTCGTAGGTAAGTAAATAAATTTATATAAATTATATAAATTTATATAAATTTTATATAAAACGTACCATGAAATAAAATAATTTAAATTCACATATATAGCCAAATTTCCTAAGATATTTTTATATTTATTTTATATATTTTATTTTATATTTGACCAAATAATTTCTGTAGGGTTCTCCGATTGATGCTGAAAACTCATTTTATACTACTAACTCTAACTAAAGATTTTCATCCTGGTAGTCAGCTAATGAGAACTATCAAACCAGAAATTATTTTATGAAGAAAATGAATAAAAAAAAAAGTTATTGATGAACGATTAAATTGATAAAATGATAAAATTATGAAAAAATTTTAAAAAATAGAGTAATCTCCATAGAATGACAAAAAAAGAAACAATAAACATATAAACTTTTTAATTTATAAAAGCAAAAATTTTTAAATATAAAATATAAAAATTTTTTAGTAAAAAATTGCCATATATCCATTATTTCAAAAATATTTACAGTTTAGATTTTCCTACTTTTTTCTAAGACCTCAATTTCTGGTTAGAATCATTGCATTGGCCTATACCTGACCAGACAGATTTTTCGAAAGCAGGTTTTTATTTCTGCTCAGAATAGAACCATAATTTTGTCGTTCTAAAATAATATCGCCGTTGAGCCATTATATCCCTTATTTCTATATTAATTATTGTATTTTTTGCAATTCGCCTTCTATAGAAAAACTTTTATTTCAGATCCTCGACACAATCAATATCTACGAGCTTATTAACCGACAATTCAGAGAATCTTATTTCTTTATATCAGAAACGCGATGCTATAAATCTGTCTCATGCACAATTTGTATAAAAAAATTATGAAACGATGTGATGTGATGCAAATAAATAATGGAATGGATAAATGAAAAAAAGGAATATTTCAAGGAATTTTGGATAATGATAAAAGTTAATAATGATAATGATAAATCATTGTGTAATAGATTTAGCTTATAATAGATTTTAATCAAAAACTTAATCAAAGCATAAAAATTGAAGAATCGTTTTATTTCCATATTTCTTTTATTTTCATTCATGAAACATTTATAAAATGACCAATTTTTTATTAATATTATTTTTGCTTATTAAATATACACCATTGATTCGATGAAATTTTTAACGAGGAAGCATCGCTCATCTTTATTCAAATTTCGTAAACTTTATAGGTTTTTGATCGTAATTTATGAAATTTTTGATGCATAAAGTGCATCAATTTAATGTGGCAATTTAATAATGCATTCTGCTCGAATAAATTTGAATAATAAATAATTCATTTTTATTAATTTTAATACTAATTTCAAAAATAAAGGCAATATTTTATGCAATTTTTAGCTTTGCATAATACATAAATTTAACATATTTTGCCAAATCATTTTTTATTATTACAATAATTTAATATAATTGTTACGATAAGAGTTACATTAGTATATTTCAATAAATCCATATATTTTTTTGGAAGATTTTTAAAACGAATATAACGAAAATGTGATTGTCGAAGGAGATTTGTATTTTTATTTTTCCTACTATTATAATGAGATTAGATGTCATGGATTTGACTCTTCTCACTTGATCTCCGTCTTCAAGTGACTCTAAGAGAATAATATTAAAGTAATGATCAGTGGAACCAACCAGGTCAATAATATTGATAGAGGAAGAGAAAACAACCATAATGCATTAAAAAATCTAAATGGAGTAAATATATTAAATTTCTTACAAATATTTTTTTTATATATATCACAAATTTTCTAAAAATATCCATAAGCGAAGTTCCATTTGCGAAATTCTTTAATTCCCTTTAAAAATGATGAATATTTATACCATTCGAAAATTCTTTGTTTTCATCTTTTATTTAATTACTCTCTTTTAATTAATATGGTTTTTTATGGTATCGTCTTTTTTTTTAGAAGAAAAGGTGAGAAAAGGTGTAGAAAAGGTGTTGAATTCGTTATTCATCCAATAAAGTAATAAAAATAAAAATCATTCGTATGACTTCCAAGGCTTATTTTTTAATTTCATGGTGCATTATTTTTTATTTTCTATTTTGGTGCATTTAATGGTGAGCTGTGGTGCATCTATATTTTTTTAAAAATGGTGACCAATAAGGAAACAAATAATAATATTGTTTAGCATTTTTTTCGGCTAATATTGTTTTTCGTTCGGTTCGGCAAAATTTTTTATTAATATGCAAATTATTATTCTAAAATCAAATATAAAAACTTAAAAAAAAATATTTAATTTGCTTTTTTATGTCGTATTAGACCGGTTTTGTAACGATTTTATGGAAGAAATGTAAATTTGAATTTGAATTTTTATAATTTGCAAATTATTGCAAAAATGAGGAGGAATTGCTCTATCGCATCGAAAAGGCTTTTTATCACATACGCCTTCTCTTGTATTGTAAGTCGTTTAAAATTCGCTAATAATAAATAACATTTAATTAATTAATATAATAATAAACAATAATTATTACATAATAATAATAATCACAATAATTATTATTATTATTATCTTATGCTATATTTTATTTATATAATTAAAGAATAATAAAGAAATAGAAAATGACGGCTGCTAATATTATTAGTAACAAATATAAATAATAAAAACAATAAGCAATAATTTTAATAATTATTGCTTTAATTATCCTTTTATCTTTTCCTTTTTCAACTTCTAGCAAAGCAAACGAAAATTCCTACAATAATTATAATAATTTATAATAATAATAGCTATTTCACTTATTTCACTTACGATTCGCATATTTCTTTTCATCAACAAATAGGAATCGAATCCACGATAGTGATTCTTTGTAGCGGCGATCCTTGAATATCAACATGCCACTCGGCTATCCTAACCCTTAATGTGGATTATAATTAGAAAATTTTCTATTCTATCGTTTTTTTAAAAGTTAGAGAACGCTAGAGGAATTCGAAATATTATTTAAGATGTTATCGTTATGGCTCAATGAAGTAAAATATTATGTTTAAAATGCTGAGGAAAAGTGATGATCGAAATATAGCAATTAGTAATAACTTATTTTCGAAATATTTTGCCTCAAAAAAAGAAAAAAAATTAAGATATCATGAGATTTGGTGAAAGAGTTGGTGACGCAAAGCTGTTTGAGATTTTTTTCTACATTAATCCATTGCTTATCGTTAAATTTAGATGCTTAATTAGTGATAAGATCTCCAACAAATTCAGTGATAAGATTGATAATTTCGCTTTTCTCGTTTAGGGAGATCGCTTATGGTCATTTGCAATAATTTTAATTATGGAACATATCGGTGGAATACGTTTAGTTTCAATTGATCAACTAGTTGAAGAGATTATTATTATGATATTAAGTTCAATGATTGGCGATTGGTTGGATCGAAATACTCGGCAGCGAGGTTTATATGAAATATTTAAAATGTTTATTATCATTTATTATCATTATTATTTATTCACAATCAATCTGAAGCTATTATGTAGACCCAAATTTGAATATATTGCTATCCCTAAATTATATCATATCAGCAATATGTCTTTTCAGTACCATCAAATTATTATTATTTACATGATGAATTTATTAGCTAAAATTTTTAAAATTTTCAAAATCTTAAACAAAATCTTTTGCTTATAAAATTTCAAATAAATTTTGTAAATCATTGGTTTAATAAAAAAAATATTTTAAAAATCTTTTAGATGAAAAATATTTTATAGGAATGCTTATTCTTCTCACAATAAATAATTTGAGTCTAATTATTTCTGCAAGCACATTAGCAATTTGCATTTTAATTAAAGAAACTGAAATGCAACAACCATTTAAGGTATTTTTACTTTTTTAAAAAAAAAAGGAATCCTATGAAGGTTTCCATATTTCTTTAAAAAAATAAAAACCACCATGATGGTGAAGAAATCGCTATAATAGCAAATAAAAGCAAATAATAATAATTAATAATAATAATAATTAATAATAATAATAATTATATATAATAATAATTAATAATAATAATAATAATAATAATAATAATAATAATAATAATAATAATAATAATAATAATAATAGTAATAAATAGGTGAAAAGACCGTAAAAATAATAACATTATAGCAGTTTCAAAAAAATTTTAGATTATTTCAACTGCATACAGTTTGAAATATTTTTTTTATATAATTTGTTTGATTCTCGCTATTTTAACATGTTCGATGAGTTGCCTGGCTAGCGGTATGCAAAAAAATATTCTCACCAAGGATTGGATTGTTGTTTTAGCTCAAAAAGATAATCTTCCATTATCAGGTATTATGAATTTTGAGAAGAGTTTTAGAGGAGTAACAACAAACAGTAATCGTAATAGTAGTAATAATCGTTCGGCTACTATTACCGATTTCATTAATTAGTTTTACAGTTTTACGTTTATGAATGAATGATTTATAATAATAAGGCTATATAGAGAATTTTTTTTTCCATGAATTTCTGAAAAATTACAAAAAAATGGTATCCAAGAAAGATTTTGAGGATTTTGAGGATTTGAGGATTTGTTATTCGTTTCATTTGTTTACAATCCATTTGTTTAATTGTTTAATTGTTTAATTGTGGAATTACTCAATGAGTTGTCGCTTTCATTTCGATTCACCTGGGGTTCTATCTCTCGGCAATGAATAAATTGCTAAGGTCAATCTCGAGCAAAATCTAACCGAAAATAGTGGATCTCGAATAAAAAGGATTTTATCATTATTATCATTATTAGATAATTCATTATTCATATATTAAGAATTCTTAAACTAAGAATTCATTAATATGATGAATGGTAGGAAAAAAGATTGCCCGAAGAGTTTTTTCTTAAATTTTTGAAAAACCCAAAAATATATCTGAAAAAATATATATTTTTTCAGTAATTATCATCTTATCATCCAATAATTATCAATTATCTTTTTTACACTTTTACACTTCTACACTTTACTTCTACACTTAAAAATTATTAAAGATGAAATTTTAAATGAAGAATTTTCAGAAACGAATGCCACAATGAAAACGATTGATTTATCTTCATCTGTTATATCACCATTTATTGCTGGACTGATTATCAATAAAATTGGCTATCTTATCGCATGTTTTATTTTTATCATCTATAATTTATTGTCATGGATCGTAGAGGGACTAATTTTGAATTCTGTTTATCTCTCAACTCAACAACTCCAAATCAGAGCACCCATATCGAAATCGTCCAGTTAATTCAATCCTCTTTATTATTTTTCGTATTTATTTTAGACATTTTCTTCTAAAAAGTGTTTACCATTTTGGATTTGTTCCACTGGTTTGTCGAAATTGACAAATTATGGCCGAGTTACTTGGCATTAGAAGTATAGGCAGGTCGAGTACCAATCGGATCGTTAAATGACACTTTTACTCGTGAGAAGCGGAATCAGGATCGTAGCATCGATTATTATGGAACATCTTATAAATTAAAATTTATTTTATAATTAATTTAAATTCCCCAATTTTCTATTTATGGATCGTGAGCTTAATTGTAGTTTAAATAGCTTCTTTATATTTATCAGCATTTATCACTTCTTATCACATCACTTATCATAAGGGAAAAAACATGTCATTTGAAGGACGGTCATTTTGTGGGATACAATTACAGGCACAGCCTTACCAGCTAACCAATTTAAAATCCACATGTTTCCTATTGCTCGCAATTTGTAATAACTCAATGAAATAACTTTTTTAAGTGAAATTAAGCGACGAAAACGAACTATTCCTATCAGTCAAAAAATCGCTAGCAATGAATAAATGGGGATTGAAAACAATTCGAAGGAATTTTGTGTTATATCGAAGGCAACCGATATTCTCAGCCGCATTTGGATTAACATTACTCTATATGACTGTTCTTGGTTTCGACGGGGTTTGTCATTGTCATAAATTTATCATGTGGTACTAATCAAAGCTTTATTTATGAGCTATTTTAGATTGCTGTAGGATATGGTAAATCACAAGGTTTACCTGAAATGTGGCTTGGTATTTTACGAAGTATTGGTTCAATATTTGGTATTCTTGGTGCTATTGTTTATGTTGCTCTTGAAAATTTTATTGGTGTAAGACGAACCGGTCTTATAGGTTTTTTGGTATGAATTTCTATTTGAACTATCGTCTATCATTAAGAATTTTATATATAAAATTTTTTTTTCTTTGATTTTTTTAATAAAAATGCATACCTTCTGAAATAAATTCAAAATCCAAAAAAAAAAACGAAATAAGATCGCCAAAAAAAATTGCTAAAAAAAGCTTTATTTAAGGCTCAACAATTCGCTTTATATATTTGTATTTTATCGATTTGGCTTCCTGGTTCACCGTTTGACCCCGTCAAATATTTCCGTGATATTACTGCGAACGTTCGTTTTTCTTTTATACAATTGTCATTCAAAAATATTTCCCTTTTTATTTTTTTTTTATTCTAAATTATATTTTTACAGATATGGTGGGAAAAATTCAAAAATTCATTTAAAATCTCTTATAATCAGAATGGTTTCAACCAATCTTCAACAATTTCTACTTGGTTGCTTCCATCGAACAAAAACATTGAGTGGTCATCATGGACGGTAAATGGCCATTCGATAATTAGCGTATCCACATTACTGATAGGAATTGCCATTTCTCGATTTGGTGATTAATTAGTTAATTTATTGAAATATAAATTTTTTTTTTTACACAATTTTATTCAATTTTGGTAATAATTTATGAAAATCATTGATATAAAACGACTTAAAAAATGAAAAATTCTCAGGTTTATATATGGTTGACTTATCTGTTACACAAATAATGCAAGAAAAAATACCCGAACGACATAGAGGCACCGTTTTTGGAGTGCAAGAATCTATCGCACATTTCTTTAGTGTCATTAAAGTATCTTTTCCTTATAAGAATTATTTTATTTAAGTGCAGTTCAGTTGAACTAATCGCTAATTTTCAAGAAATAGTAGTAGTTTTGCGTTCTTGCGACTGGCGAAATCTTTATGAAGCCGTCGCGAAATTACCATTTTTATTTTTGTTATTATTAATTCTGTTAATATAATTAATATAATTCAAAATTGATAATTTTATAAGCAGAAATCAAAAATATAAACCAATAAAAATTTAGGATCTTCTAGTTATTATTTTACCCGACCCAATGATATTCGGTTTGCTTATCATATTGTCCGTAACTTTCGTTGTATCAGGCGCATTATCATACGTATATTATCTAATAAAGGTTGTAAACAATTTTCTAAACCTTAGTTTTTAATTTAAATTGCTTAAATTTCAAAATAAATTATATTAATTATTTAATCACAATTTGCAAAGTACCAAGAAATGATTTAACAATAATTTTCAGGTGCAATAATATTCAGAACAAAGTTAATCGAGAATATAGATCATAAGAATAATTGATTTATAATATATACAGTGGTAAAATACATAACGAGGCAGAATGCTTGACCATTTTTAAAGACCTCTGATTTAGAACAAAAAAAGTCCAAGGAAATATTTACGAAATCTTGAAATGAAAGATATAAAGAATATAAAAATTAACTGATTATTAAGGAGCAATTTGTCATTAACAAAAGAATAAATATAAAACTTGCTGATAATCCATTTTTTATGAATTAAAGAAATATAAAGATTCAGGAAAATAATTTAATGAAGATCATTTCATTTCGCAAAATACGCCAAAAGATTTACTTTTCATTTTTTTTGTTCTTGGAACATTTCACTTCTGTTATTGTTGCTATTTCACGCTCAATAAAAAGGTGCTAACATATAATAAGCACAGCTATACTGAAAGTTTAAGAGTATAACCAAAGATCGGTGTTTTTCAATCATTTTAGTGTTATTGACACGATATTTATTTCCTGTTTTGGTCGGCCACTCTTGTCGTAAGTATTAACTTGATTTATTTTTTGGACCACGTTAAAACCTTCAGTTACCTGAAATCAATGAATGGCGATAGATTCTCAAGAACCTTATAAAATATATAAAATACAAACTTGTCCAAAAAGCGTGTTTTTCCCATCCAGCCATTCAGCTGGGACAACTGTTATAAAAAATTGAGATCCATTTGTGTTCGGACCAGCATTCGCCATCGAAACCATATAAGGTTTATCGTGCCGCAACCGTGGATGAAATTCATCTTCAAAATCATTACCCCAAATTGACTGTCCTCCCGTGCCTTTACCAGTTGGATCTCCAGTCTGAATATTTGTGGCAAAGTTAATATAATATTTTCATTCATTAGTTGGTTTCCTTATTAATTCTTGCTTTATTGCAAATGCTTTATTGCAAGTAAATAATGGTTACATCAGTTTAGCTTGTAAATCGACAGAGGTACTATATTATCAAATAAATAGTACCATTAAATGCCTCAAAATATTGTAAAAATCGTATGGTTGCTATGAATTTCCTTAAAAAAAATTAATATTGAAGGGACAAAAACAAACTTGAATCATGAAACTTCTAATGACTCGATGAAAAGTATGTCCATTGTAATATCCTCTCCTCGAATGAGTACAAAAATTTTCAACGGCTTTAGGACACTCGTTTGGGAACAATCTGATATGAATATCACCGAATGTGGTATGAATAATCGCTCCTTCATTTAATTTACTTTCAGATGTTTCATTCTGCAAAAAAAAGTTTGGAAAATTTCCATATTTAACATATTCGATAAATTGTGAAAAAACCATAAAACAAAAATTCTTCTTTCAGTTTCTTCTTTTTCTTTTCGATTCGGATTCGATAACAAGAAATCCCACAAAAGACGATTTTCATAATGAAACTAGAATTTTTACCTCCACTGCAGTTATTACATCTTCTTTTTTCGGTTTTTCATTAAAAACATCACGTCCCAATCCCGTTCCTTCGGTATCTGCATCATCAATTGAAAAGGGTTCAGAATTTGTGAATAAGTAAAAACGATTTTTGCGATAAGCAAATGCGACCTTGAAAAATTTCAAAGAAATAAAATATAATTCTTTATTTTTTATTTAATAAATTCTTTATTTTTTCGAAAATCACTTTCAAAGTCAAAAATTAACGAATATGAAATCGAGATTTAGAGATAAAGAAAATTAGTTCTAGAAATAGTGAAAATATATCAGAAATAAATGAAAAAAATGAAAATAAGAAAATCTCTTACAAGTACTGGATCAGGTTCGGTTTTTTTTAAATTTGGATTTTCTGCAGCTACTATATCAATTGTCGCACCGCCCTATGAAAAAAATTTATGCTATATCAACTATTTTGAAAAATTTTCTTATCGGTAACAAAATGACACTGTTACTGATTGAGCCAAAGACTAAAAACATTAAAGGAAAATCATTAAAAAAACCTGAAAACGGTCTTTGATATCTGGAACTGGCTGACATAATGAAACACCGAGAAAACGCATATTTTCAGTTTTACCTATTTCACGCACAATTTTGTCGGTAAACAAATTTAAAACCTGAAAAAAAAATACAAATGTTTTAAATGCATTGCGTCTTAGCAAACAAATACTATCTTTTAGTTCAAAATATTCCTTTATTATTCCTTTACTTACCTTTATTCCCACTGGCGTAGGATAAATGAGAAAATTACTCGTTTCATCAAAACAGATAGATATATGTTGAAAAGAGGTTTCATCACGATCCAGTTCTTTTTCCAATGCCGTTCTTCTATTCCATTCCATGTTTTGCAAGCCATAATTTCTAAAATATTATTGACAATTTTAAAATATGCAAAATCTTTCCACATATTTTCTATTTTACCACAGTAGCTAAGAAACATAGCTAAGAAAAAAATATTTAAAACTAACTTATTCTCCTTAGCTTGTTCTACGTACAATTGCATTGTTTCATTGATAGTAAAATTTAATTTGCCACTTAAAAAATCAAAAATCCTAATCTTTCGATCAGTGCCAACTGTGGCAAAAAGATGACCATTTGGTGAGATAACCAAGCAACGAGGAATAACTTTTAACTGAACAAATTAAATCTTTCAGAAGATTTAATAATCTAGTGATAAAACTTAAAACGCGCATCAAAATTGCAGAGAACAAAGAAAGAAAGTTGATTTTAGAATATTCAAATATAGCAGTTGTTTTAGCGAAATTGAAACCAAAAAGTCAAAGGTTAGATGAAAAGAAAAAATGAAAGATATAATTTAAACAATTAGGAGAAATCGAAAAAACACTTTTAAAAATTCATATAAATCCGTGTCCGTTTTATAAGTCCATCGAATATTATCAGGAAACTTATATTCTCCTTTTGGTCCAGACCAATATTCAATCATACCAGCACAATCGATTGATATAACACAATCGTAAACATAATTATACTGCAATATATTTCATCAAATGCCCGCAAAACATATTCAATTTAAAATTAAAATAAAATTCCATGATTAAATATCGATACTTATGAAAAAAAGAGATCGAACCGAAGAAGAAACAAATCAATAACCTGAATTAGCTTGACCGGTTTTGAATGTAATCTATCTAAAATATGAATCTTCTGCCCGTCACCTTTGCCATCGTAGATGAAAATTTTAGGTGAAACTGAATCAGTTATTGCTAATGAATATACAACATCGTTTCCTGTAGAAAAAAAATCAATTTTTTTGCCTTATATATTTAAAAAATTATCATCACCATAATGAATCAAAAGACACACCTTGATGAATCCATGCTGCTGATTCAGGTGAGAAATCTAATTTAATTATATTGATCATATCGAAATTAATTACATCAAAAATTTTTACTGACTGATCTTGAGAACAAACGGTTGCCAAAAATGTTCCACTGTGATTTACGGCTAGACTGGAAAAACTATCTGAAAATTAAATCAGTCGAGAAAATCAAAACCAATTAATTTTGTTTTGTAAGTTTTTCAAAATGAACGGAAAAAATTTAGCAATAAAATGAAAAATTCAAAAAAAGATTGCGATGGATTTTTAATGAGAGTTTGCATTTTCCAGGAAAAAATTAATTATAAATAAACCTACGAAGATGACATCGAAACTGTTTAACAAATTCAATTCCCTCACTATGTTTTTTCTTCCAAAATTTCAAAATACCATCGCAACTTGCAGTAACAATAAAATCCGTCCTGAAATTTGTAACAGATAAATGGAGAAACAAAAAAAAATATAGAAAAATGAAAATAAAAAAACAAAAACAAACATCTAAAGGAAAAAATTTAACAAATAAAATTTAATTAAATAAAATTAATTAATTAATAAAGAAGAAATTTTAATTAATTTTAATACTACAATAATACTACAAAATTTTGACCACTTAGTACAAAAAACAGATTCAAAAGCAGTGCTAGCAGCTGCATAAAAATGAGGCATGAAATTGTTCTAACATGAAATTATTATTAGAATACCTAGTTTTAACAACTAATAATACAACAGATAACTAAAGAAAACTATTTTTCCAGAATGAAAAAAAAAACAAGAAAGCGCTTACTTCATCGCAATTACATGTGTTATTACATCGCGATGCATGAACGATTTTTCATAATGTGCAGCACGAGGAATAGCTCGAAGATAACTTTCCTCGAATGGCAAAACTAAAATCAACGAATTGTTTAAATTATCTTTTTATCTTTAGCGACATTTCTAATAATATAATAATATAATTAATAAAAAATATTATTAGAAATAAAACCTTTGATCTTTGCTGGAATTTCTTCTTCGACACCTTCTATATTTGATCGAATTGTCATAATTTCAATATTTTCATTCCGCCTTTTCGACATTATTATATCGACAAATTTAAATCTTAAAAAAAACATTATTCATTTCATAATAACGAAATTAAAAAATATTCATAATATTTTTGAAAAAATATTCTTAAAATCATTGAAATAAAAGAAAAAAATAATAAATTTGAATGAAAAACAGAATGCAATGAAAAATTCGGAAGAATTTCATTTAAAAAAAAAATTTATTTGTGGAAATAAATTATACAAAATAAATTAAACTAAAAATTCAACAAATGGTAAAAAAATTAAAGTTTTTGCATTTATTAATATAAAGAAAGATTATATTTTTCTACAAATAAATTTTAAAATTAATAATACATTGAATCAAATCAAATAATTCTAATCCTCCTCTTAATACTAATCAAATTTTTGTCGACAACACTTTTTCATTTCGCGTTGGTAACTGCTGGTATAATTTTTCTGGATGAAAATTCTCGATCTTTTCTTAATAAGCTAAATGCAGATGAATTTTCCAAAACGCTTTCAAATTTAATATTCCAAACATTCAAAAATAAACCTGTAATATTTTTACAATATATATTTCCCAGTTTTGACAAGGTGATTAAATTTATAAGGGGTTTATAAAAACATTTTCTGCTTCGTTTTCAAATTCCTCCAGTAATTATATAACATATTTTAGAAATGCGATTCTATATATAAATAAAAGAATTAAAAGAAAAATATTTTTACTACAAACCTTATCTGGTCGCATTATATTACCATGAATAAATGCATATAAATACAGTATTGAACTTGAATAATAAGTAATTAAAAATAGACCCTATTTGTGGAATACATAAGGAAATTTATACATTATATGGAACACATATGAAAATCCAAGCTAAATTCGCAGAAATTTTTCATTCGTTATATTGCTAGAGTAAATTAACTAGTAATGCAGTAAACCCGCTTCGCATGCATATATCTAAATTCGAAATTTAACCAAAATGACCAAAATTAATTGAAATTGTTGAAATTGTTCAACTTTTATGCGTTTACTCAATTTCAATCCAAAAGAATTTCTTTGCTTCTAATTAGCGATGTAATTTTATTCTAGCTTATATTCTTTTTCTTGCCATTATTCTATAAAATGCAGAGTTTTACCATCCTTGTTTGTTCATAGCATCTCAAAAAAAAAAATTCCTCTGTTAATCATTCGAATTTACAGGAATGACAAATATGGATAACAGACAACAAATCTCTTTTTAAGAAGATTTCAACGACTGTTGAACAAAATTCTGGTACGAAAATTCTGAAGCAAAAGTAAAAAAAAAGTAATAGAAAATAGATTAAAGTAGATTAAATAGATTAAATAGATTTACTTGATATGATTATCAAATCTTCATTTCAAAGAAATTCAGAGGCTATCAAATTCAAACTATTGCGAGCGAATAACCTATTGCGAAACTGCTTCGTTGAATACCGTTTCACAAACATCTGGTGATTTTTTCAAAACAATATCTATATAATTCATCGGGATAAGACCAATATTTTTGCCATCATTTGTGCTGCAAATAAAAGAGATCTTTTGCAATTTTTTCTGTATAAGCTATGAAATACAAATCTTTAGGTTTCAGTAGAATATATGATATCCAATTTAATAAAATCTTGAGATCTAGTTTTAAACAGAATAGAAAATCCAGTTTTAAACAGAATATCGGATTTTTAATGTCATTAATCATACCTTCCGAGAATCCACCCGCGAATGGCCGGTTGCTTTTCTTTTGGTGCAATCCTTAATATCTGACCAGCGCTGAAAGTCAATTCATCTGACGCTCGAGCTTCAAAATCATATAATGCCTAAAAAATATTCATATAAACAAACTATATGAATTTAAAAAACTATACGTTCATAGAATGAATAAAAATCAGAAGCTACTAAGAAATATACTCTAAATAAAAAAAAAATACAGTGAATCACAATTTAAAACCTTGGCTTCATAATATGGCTCGAAACCATTAATCCATGAACGATGGGACTTAAGTACTTTTGTAAAATAAATAAGGCATAGCATTCCAAATGTAATGAAACGGAAGAATATCGACTCTGAAAAAGTTGGGAAATATAAATCAGATTCACAAAATTTCTCAAATAAAAATTTCCATTTCTTTTTAGATTCTGCAAAATACAATGAAAGATCAAAATGAAGAATAAACGAAAATAAAAAGAATAAGAAGAAAAAATCTTGTCTGAGATTCAAATATTAAAATGTTTCCCAAATATTGTATCCAATATGAAATCATGGAATCAATAACTAATTCTGTTGCCCATTTATAAATCTATTAAAATCTTACCAATGTATAACTAATATTAATCATTAATATTAATATTATCTTAATAATATTATTATCATCCAGCGATTTCATCCACTCTTTCTATTAAAAATTCTTTCTAAACTAAAATGTTACCAAAAAACGCGATAAATTAAAAAAGTTATAAAATAATAAATTAAAAAGCAATTTTAGATCATGAGAATTAGTTGACTGAAAAATGTAAAGCAATAGCAAGATACTTGTCTGTGAGACAGCATTCAACCAAGCCGCTTCCATATTTACGTAATCTGCAGGCTTTAAGCGCAAGAATGCCATTAACGATTGCCAGAAATATTTTAGCCAACGAAATATCGAACATGTAACAAAAAATGATTCGACCTGTGATATGAAGTAAATTATAGCAAATTCAGTCAATTTTCATTCTTTAAAGTTTACGATCAAAAATAAAGCTTTAGCTTTCCAGACAAATTCTCTAAAATTCTTATAATTTTGGAATTTTAAGAATTCAAAAATATTGCATTTTACAAATCAAAAAACCGGTAATAAAAACATATGATTTGATGAGATATTCTCTCCATGAAAGGTACATTAATATCAGTAAAAAATTTTTACTTGACTATTCAACTTGTATAATTCGTTCACTGCTCCATTGATGGCTCTAAACGAATTATGAAGAGCAGAATAAGTTGAAGAAATCGTCGTAGCAAATGAATTTAATGCAGCCACAATGTACTCAACATTTTGAAATCCACCTTTAATTTTACCTGTTTAAAAGATCGAAGAGAATTACAGTGATATTTTTGTTAATGATGTAAAACATTAATATAAATGTTGTAATATAGGCAAAAAAATAAAACAAACTAAAACTATTAGTTAGAATAGATTGAAGAATATAGTGCAAATAATATTATGGATAATTCTATTTATTTTTAATTTTATTTTACTAATTAAAACTGATGTCAAAGCAGAAATCAGTTAGGCAGTTTATCTCAATACTTAATGAATGCTACAAATGAAATTGCGTATAATTTGGATCAAAAAAGCCAGATAGTACTATAGTTTTACAGTATTTTATAGCCCTTTATTTTTTATAGTATAATTTTATATATTTTATTTTAGCAATAAATTATTATATTTCTAATAAAAAATAAAAAAGATAAGTGGATAAAACTAGAGAAAAAATATTTAAAACCTTTAAAAGTTTCGCCCATTAAACGAGTAAAATTATTTTCGGACAAATTATAACCATAAGAATAGGAATTTGATCCATACCTGAAACCAATGACAAGACTCTAAATTCTTAATTTTTTAATAAATCTTCTTTAGTTCTATTTTATTTAAACAAACAACGTCCAATCTAATAGATATTCAATTTTTCAATTAAAAATCCAATTTAAAGCTTTTAAATGCAAATAAAAATTTAAGAGTGGAATAAACATACATTGACACGTCACTAAAAGCCGCACCATATGACCCATACTCAACAGGAACATAGATAGAATTACCCGGAATATTCATATGTCTATTAAAAAAATTAGGTACTAATCTTGGTGGGATTTCAGGCCCGTAAACTTGTTCGTTGCCGCTATCACTTTCAGTGTGAGGCATAATAATAAATCTGAAAACATTAGAAAAATAATTATTTTCTATCTTTAGAATTCAGAAGGACAGAAAACTCACAAAAAACATCTGCTAATAAGATTTTACCTAAATTAACACCATTAAATGGGACCTAAACACCCTCTCATATTGGTGATTGAATAATTGACGAAAGCGTGAGGATAAGAACTTAGAACACAGATGAAGAAAATCACTGTACATCTTAAATTTGAAAATGACGAAACCTTACTGAATTAAAATTAAAGGGGTTGAAAAGAAAAATACTTTCATCTCGTATCGACGCTGTTTTACACCAATGCTATAAACGTGAAGTTCACGTAACCGGTAAATTCTATATATTTGGAACTGATCGAATAAATCACTTCGGTTTTTTAAAACCATTTAAATAAATAAAAAAAATTGAAGGAAATTTTGAAGGAAACCCAATGCAACCTATTAAAAATAAATGCTCCATGACAAAAAAACACGATATATTTCAAAAATATTCGTAAAATTCTTGAAAACGTTTTATTATAAACAAATTTTATCACTTAAGCATGATTAAAATGAACGAGTTATATCAGTATATAGTTAGGAAAAATTTATTTAAATCACTTAATACAATTATATTTCATGAAAAAAAAAAAAATGAGAAATTAAAGATTAAATCTGCAAAAAATCAAGCGTAGAGCCAAAATATGCCATTTGCGATTTACAAAAAATATTAATTTTTCTATTATATATTGGAATATCAAAATAGCAAATACAACTGATAATAAATAAAATAAATAAATTAAAGTTCTATTTTTCTTATTCACAATAATTCTTCACAATTGTTCTCTTCTTTTTGCTAAATTATAATTATAATTAAAAAATAATCAAACGAAAAAATTAAGGGAAAAGTATATAATGATAATATATAATATTATCAAACTGGTTTGCTACGACCACGTCCTTTAACAGTACCTCCACGGCCGCCTCGTAAAGTTCCACGATTACTTTGGCCACCTCCTCGACCACCTTGTACTTCCCGTTTTGCACGTTGTTGATCTTTTTGTTGACGACGAACTTCTTTCACCTAAATTCATTTCGACTAAATTTCACAAAAGAAATGCTAAAAAATCTTATATTTTTTAATTCTTATATTTTAAATATTAAATAATGTAAAACCTAAGAAAAAAAAATAAATGAGAAATATCAAGAAGAATATCAAGTAGAATATCAAGCAACAAATGGTTTTAAAAGAATAAATTCTTTTTTAAAAAATAAATTTGAAAAATAAAAAGTTTAGACTATATGCAAAAGATTCATTAAATTAAAATGATACCTCTTCTTTTACAAGTTCAACGACTTCATCAGGAATCCTCAAATATTTAACAGTTGAACCTCGAATAAAAACTTCATGCATTTTTAAAAATCGATCACCATCCTAAAAAATATTTCGTAAATAATAACAATAAATAGACGATAAATATTGCAACAAATATAAATATACCAAAAATAAATCTTAATTTAAATGACGTATTCAATAGAAAGAAAATTTCGCCAAAGATGTAGAGGAAAAAAGCAAATAATTCTATCAATAAAACAGCCCATTTTACAATTTTTTACAGTTTCATTGAATATTCGGAGATGAATCACTTGAAAAATTATGAATGCTCAGAAAATGTGCAAAAATTTGATACTTTTGAAGTGCAAATCGCATCTCTGAGATGTATATTCATCCAACCATCGCATGTAACTAAATGTCCATTATAAGTTTCACCATTTTTCAGCTCGACCAACATTGGATGATTCTGCGCAGTTCGCATTAAAGAAAGAGGAAGCTGAAATGCATTTCAAAAAAAGCAAATTAGTTACATAAACAGTAAAACAATGTGGAAATATATAAATATACTGAAAAAAACTAAGAAATAAGAAAAATGTTAGAAATAATAAAAAAATATATAAAGTAATATATAAAGTAATATATAAATATATAAAGTAAAAATATATATAATAAAGAAGTACAAAAATATAAAAAATGAAACTCACCACCATTGCAAATTTTCAATTTTATTTAATTAATTGTATAATCCACCAAATAATTGCACCCCAATTTAGCAAAAATTTTTGACAGCAATTTCTTGCTATGATTTTCGTAAATTCTAAAAAGAAAATTGGCCGCTAGTTTTTGGATTATAGAAAATAGTTGGAAAATCAACTTAAAACAAATGATGGATAGTACAAGAAAATAAACTGGAAGATAAACAAAAAAAATTTTAAAAATAAAAAATGATGAAATGATGAAAGTTTTTATTTATAATAAATCTTCTAACAAATTCTCATAGAAAAAAATTTTTTTCCCATCGATCCTCCAAACTTTCTCTTGGAATTTTTATTATTCTCAAAAATGTTTTCATCTAAAAATGTTTATTCGGCGATAATTGAAGGAACAAATATTTTTTATGAAATAAAACTGCATAAATATAGAAAATATAGACAAAGGAAATTATAGTGACGTAAGAAAACAATGGAATACTTATTTTTAGATGTTAATGAGATAAGTTTGTCCTAAATGGTGATGCAACAGTCTTTTTTTAAAATCTGATCCAAAAACATAGAGCAACATCGGAAGACCAAAAAAGCGATAATCTCAAAATAAAAAAAGTGGATAAGCAATCCGAATATTCAACTATTCACACTATTCTTATATATACCCCACTATCATTTATTTGATTAAAACCCGCTTCAATTAATTAAAAATGTTTCAGCAAAAATTTTTAATCTTCGCTAGTTTCTCACAAAAATCTCTGCAATTCCAAAAATTTGATGAATCCACTCGTTCGCAAGAAAACTTTGGACCTTATTTTATTTCAATTAATTCTTCTTGCAAATATGAATCTATGCTGCAGTGAAAAAGTTGTATGATGAAACACAGCAAATTTTCAAAGAGCGAACATTAAAATTTTTTTGAACTGCTTCAATTGATTCGTATATAATAATATACCGATCCCAGCTATTAAAGTTATCAAAAATCACTCAAATTTAGATATAAATAAATTTTGAGGCGAAATCCGACACTAACTAATCAATTTTAAAGTTTTTCTCCCACTCAATTGAAGCAACAAATAACTAAATAAAAAACGTAATTTAATAAAAAAAACTTATATTTAACAAATTTTTCAACTACAGTTTTACACAAAAATCAATAGCTTTCAACAGACTCTCAAAGGGACTCTCATAGTTTTTTACGAGGAGACCACAGCGTCCACTAAATTGTGGGAGAAATCCATAGTTTTCATAAAACTTTGCGAAAGACTTTCAGAGGAATGTATAGCATTCATGTGGTTTTAAAAAAAACTGTTAAGATCAATGAATTAAATTAAAATGAACGGAAATTTTTCAAAAAATTCTGAGAAGAAATCGAGAATATCGTGAAGAAAAATAAAAAAAACTTATTGACAGCACAAAATTTAGAATAAATATTTGAAGAAATTGTTGTGAGATGATTCTCGAACCCCTCTTTAACCCTAACAGGATTTAGGATGGTACCAAAGAACCAGGAACCCTCATATGAACAGAGTAAGAGTGAGCAACGATAAAAATGAAATAAAAGAGCATATTTAAAAAATATAGTGGCACAAAGCCAATTTTATTTTTAAATTTTCGTTTTAAGACCAAGTATTTAATTAATTTTTGAAAAATTCTCGGCTCGATGCCAAATCCTTTTTTTATAGTACACTTTTCGGTTTTCGGTTCTGACTCTTCGCTTACTGGGTAGAGCGGGGCTAGGATGTGAGAGGGGAATTGAAGGGGGAGGGCAAGTGGGGGGAATGGTTGTATTGTTGGGGTTTATGGGATTTGGAATTATGATGGTTGAGCATATGGAAATTGTCAGTTAGAAATAAGGAATATTAATTATTCAGTTAGGAAATCTCGTTAGAAAAAAAAATTCTGTTATCTTTCATATTTCGAATTTGAAATTTTCTTCATCTGTTGGTGCCTTACAGATCCTTTGGTGACATTCTTTCTATAATAGTTCTTATTATTACTGGTTGGTTGGCTCCGCTAGCTACAAGGGTAAGACGTTTGCCTGACAGCTATTCTTTTTTCTACCATCTAAGTCCATATATTGCTGGTTTATCTATTCATTCAAAATCTTTCCAGGCTGTTTCAGTACAAGTGTCTCATTGGTCCACCTCGCTTGTGATATCATAGATCACAGATTTTAGCAAATAGCGAAAATATCAACTCCTATGGTGATGAAGAACATGCGCTAACCAGCGGAGGCAACGCTCTATGGTTGTAATATTAAGGAAGTATTTTGAGTGGAGTTGTAACCTTTGGTGACTAAAAAAAAACCAGAAGAAACTAATCGTAATGACTGTACACGAATAGCAAATAAAATTTATTTTAATCAAGATCGAATTAAAATTTAAAAATTTTAATGAAAATTTCAGAAATCAGATTAAATTGAAGAGAAATTTTTGGAGAAAATGTTTCGTCAAAATATTTTTTCGTTAATTTTTTGTCGAAATTTATCATTTCATACTTCATTACTTCCAAAAGGAGCAAAAGCTTTTATTAACGGTTATTATTTCAATTTATTTTTTAAATTTTTTGAATTAATTTCAGATAATTTCTGATAACTGATTTTTCCTCTAAAGATTTAAATTCCTTTAAAATTTTGTTAAATTTTTAAAATTTTAAAATCAGCAAAATATTACTAAATTAATAATCGTTAAATTATTAATAATTTATTGAAATAATTTTAAAATTCTTTTTAATTTGGCTAATAAATGTTGGTAAATTGCTGTAGGTGAGTGGCATGGATTTGGTTGATTTTCTTTGAAGACAAACCCGAAATCAGTGTGAATCGTCTAATGAATTCCTAAATGAAGTAGAATAGCAATCACTACTACAAAAAAAACCTGTTTTTTTTGGTAAACAGGTAAAAAATAATGTCATAAATAATATTTTGTGGTTCAAGGAAAGTGGGATGATGCGATATCTCGAGAGACATTCGATGTTCGTAATCCATATTCGAATGAAATTCTGTATGGCTGTGCTAATTGTGATGTCCAAGATGCAAAAAAAGTATCTAAGCATCCACTTAATTTTAATATATCATCAGTTCAATTTTTTATTTATTTCAAAAATTCAATTAAAATATCATACATTAGTATTTACAATTATATTATTACAGTTGCATTTAGGTATTGCTTTTTGTTTATTTATTATAAAAATTCGTAATTTTTAGAAAAAATTGTATAGAACGCTATTAAGGCGATAAAAGTGGCAAAAGAAGCTCTGAAATCTTGGTCTTTACAAACGACGGCAAAAGCACGCGGTCAGATACTTCACCAATGGTATAAAATTTGTACTGAAAAAGAAATGGATTTAGCGAAATTGTTAACATTAGAACAGGTTAATTTCTTTTAAATATTAGTGTATATATATATATATATATATCTGTATTTGTATTTAATATTTCTAATACATTTAGTAATATTTAATATATTTTATAAATACAAATTCAAGGGTAAGCCACTTGTCGAAGCTGTTGGAGAAATTAGATATTCGGCTTCATTTATGGAGTGGTTTGCCGGTGAAGCTCGCAGAACATATGGGCAAATTGTTCCACCACCAACATTAAATCGTGTTCATCTTCATACAAGGGAACCTATTGGCGTTGTTGTTTTAATTACACCTGTATGTGGTTAAAATTTTGATTTTGATTATGGCTAAATATTATAAGATTCTTATAAATAGCTCGATTATTATGTTTTGAATCTTTCCTAGTGGAACTTTCCTGCTGCGATGATTGCAAGAAAAGCAGCTGCTGCACTTGCAGTTGGATGTACAGTGGTCGTGAAACCTGCAGAAGATACTCCTCTTTCGGCGCTTGCTCTTGCACAGGTTTATTATTTGTTAATAGTATTCGATTAAATTAAAGCTGATTTTTGATCAAATGGATTCGATTTTTTGAAACTTTTATAAATTTTTCAGGTTGCAAAAGACGCTGGTATACCAAATGGTGTTTTTAATGTTCTTCCAGCTGATCGTCAGAAAACAGAACAAATCTCTAAATTTGTGTGCTCTTCTGTGGATGTCGATGCCATTTCTTTTACAGGTAGTATCGAAGTGGGAAAGGTTTGTTATTAGATTTAATAACATCTTTTACAGAATTAGCATTTTGTTCTGCGATATTCTTTTATCTTAATTTTATTAATATTTAGCTTCTTCTATCTCAGTCTGCTAGTACTGTGAAAAGAGTATGTTTAGAACTTGGTGGAAATGCTCCGCTTATTGTGTTCGATTCAGCAGATCTAGCGAAAGCTATTGAGGTTTAGTGATTTAGTGATTCTTTCATTTATCTTACCTCTGAAACCAAAGTTTTTTTTAAAGCATAGAATTTAATGTTTTTTTTTTAACAGGGAACGATGGCAGCGAAATTCCGTGGTACAGGCCAAGTCTGTGTTGCAGCGAACCGAATATTTGTGCATTCCTCAGTTCATGATGCTTATGTTGAGGGTTTGAAAAAGAAAATAGATAAGCTTGTGATTGGTGATGGAATGAAGGATGGCACCAATCAAGGACCACTTATTAATGAGCGTGCTGTAAGTAAGGTTAGTAAGGTTTCAACGAACAACAGTATTTAAAAATGATGTATTACATTAAAAAAATTGATTACATTTAATATAGGTATTATCGTTGATAGAAGATGCTGTTTCAAAAGGTGCGAAGATAGTATGTGGCGGTAAACGCGGTGAGAAATCAACTCTTTTTCAACCTACACTCATTACCAATGTAAAAAGTAATATGGAAATCGCGCATACTGAAATTTTCGGGCCTGTTGCTGCAATTAGGAGGTATGTTGTCAATTTTCAATTCAATTTTTCAATTTTTTTCTATTTGCTTTTTCAGATTATCATAACCTTATTACCTTATTTATTTTATTCATTTTTACTATTTTTCATATTTTTAGATTCGATGGTGAGGAAGAGGTTCTCAAAATTGCTAATGATAGCCGTAGTGGACTTGCCGGTCAGTATTGATTACAGTTTTAATTTTCGTACCCTCTTTCTAAGCTAAGCTAAACTACAATATTTGAGAATATGATTTGTGTTTAACAATTTTATTAAGTTAAAAGATGTTTAATTAGTGATTTTAAGTCTTTTTTGCGTCAAAATTAGATCAATAAGAATATAATTGTTGCTTGTTTTTCATAGGCTATTTTTTTTCAACCGATTATTCTCAGATTATGCGTGTTGCTCGGCAATTGCAATTGGGCATGGTAGGAGTGAATGAAGGTTTGTTCTCAATCTTCGATATTAAAATATTTTTGCGCAAATGATTTGACCCATTATTTTATTCATTATTTTAGGAATGATATCTTGTGCTGAAGCTGCGTTTGGTGGTGTGAAAGAAAGCGGACTCGGCCGAGAAGGTGCCAGTCAAGGTATTGATGAATTTTCGCAATGGAAATATACATGTATTGCATATTGAAGATTGTTAGTGAAATGATTTCATCATTTAAAAATGTCACCATTTATTTGGTCTGTATATAATAGTGGCTTTAATAAAAATTATTCTTCTCAATTTGATTCTACTTGCATAATAAACTTTCTAACTAAATGCGCTTGAGTTTTTGTGATACAACTCCAGAATAACCTGCAAAAATATTTCAATGCAGTTGTCATCTCTTGTAAAAAATCTCAATCTCTTTTATTTATATCTTTAAGATTATTAAAACTCATTTCACGAGTAATTTTAATCAATACTTTACTGCTACTAATCGAGTAGAAATGTTTTTAAGGCAATGTTGATAAATGGTTTTTTTTAATATAATTTTATATAATTTTTTATTGTTAAATTTAGAAAAGAATGTAAAAAGGATGTAAAAGGATAAATCGGAATGTTTTGTTTTGTGCTTTATTTATTAACAAAAAATAATAATAGATATAAAACGAAATTATTTATATAATAAATATAAATAAATAAATACGATTTATGAATAAACGCGTTTCAAGCGCATGAAACGTAGAAATTGGAATCACAGAAAATAAATAACAATTTAACAAAAATAAAAAAAAGGCTGTATTAATTAATAAATCGTTTTTTAATAATACATTTAATTTATCATAGGCGATGAATATGCGGGAAAATTATAAGAAAAGATTTTACTTCAACTATTCGATAAATTAGACCTGGAACATCATGAAAGGAAGAATCTTCACAGAAGAGAAACATAGTGCAGTGCATGTGAAATAAGCTCTCCTTTCGAATTCATCGATAATTCGTTGGAACCTTATTATTCGCATAAAGAGAAATTCTTAACGAGGGAAGGAATTCTAACTTGTTAAATATTTCATAGTTCTACCCGTATTTCTATTCTCAAGCAACTCAAGTTGGATAAAAATATTTAATAAGAGCTAACCAAAGCCAAACTAGAAAGAATGCTATTTAGAAGTAAAAAAGGAGCAATTCTGTATAATTATCAGGAACCAACGAATTGATTACCACCCATCTCATTAATAATGAGCTGATTTTCGCTTAAAAAAATTCCAATCAGTTGGAAGCAATTCGTACAATACCGTTGTGAAATGCTTCGTTTCTCTTGAACTCGTAACTGGTGACGTACTTGGCGCTGAAATACTACTAATGCTTCGGAGTTTTGTCGGTGGTGTTGATGGTACAGACGATGAACATCGATGTTCCTTAAACTTGTTAAAAATATCAAAATTTTACATTTTTTTTAAAGTTTTTTCGCTTGTCATATTATACTGATATACTGGTATCATATCACTTTATCTAATCATTTAAATCTCATGTTATATTACTAATCATAGTGGAGAAAGTATGGCTCAATGACTTAATTTGGAGCGTCGATGGCTTAGGCCCGCAGGAGTGTTTGTCTAAAAATTAGGATGTGATTGTGGTGACTCATCTGTAATTCCACTGCCGTAGGGACTCTCTGGTATATTTGTCTGGTGTGGTAAGCCAGCGAAGCCTAGTGGGGTAAGCCTAATCAACAATGGTGAGGGCTCTTAAAAAAGAAAAAATTAAGCCAAGCTTATACATTATTTTAAATGTTATATTTTATTGCACTATTGTTATTCTAATTGAAACAATTTTTTTTGACATTTTAAATGTCAAATCATTTAATTTTTATACATTTTTATAAAATTTTAATTATTTTTATTTTAATTAAAATCAAATAATCATAAACCAAATAATAATTAATTAAAGTATTAATCAATATCAATTAAATTAATTTTAATTATTTTCGAAAAAAATTAAATTTTTATTGATTTTAATTTTATTCAATTTCAATTAAATAATACTATTAGTATTATAATGGTTTTGATTTAAAATAATATTTTTTATATGCAAATATATTATTTTATCGAATTAGATTAAATTTTTCAAATATTATTTTTATTATTAATATTGCTTTTATATTATTTTCAATATTTAAATACTAAAATAAAAAAATGATTAAAAATAATTTGTGATAAAAAAAAAGATAAAAAAGATCATCTGAACAAAGATCATCTCAACATTTATTTATTTAGTGATATAATGTTTCTTTTTGCGAATGATTAGGTTTGGATTATTGGAAAAACCCAATTTCGGGATAGTATAAATGAATCAAAAAATACAAGTTTCATTAATCATATCATACAAAAAATTGATAATCATTAATTGATAAATTGATAATTAATAAATGCTTGATTGCTTTCTTCTGGACAAATAAACTTAATCACCTGGTCTGCTAACCGTCAGCTGGTTTCATTAGTTGCTGAATTAGGCTCTTTAATTTCGAGAATTTCTGGATGAAGTTCAATAACCCGCATTAGAATTCCATTTATGTATATCCGAAGCTTCTGATTACATATTTCTTGTTCTTTTAGGGCGTTCATTAACTGAAAATTTTCTCTAGTAAATTTCTTTCGCAAAATGATTTATTTATTTATCAAAATTATTCGCATTTTTGTAAAATTTTTTTTTTCAAATTCCAAATTTCTATGTGAAAAATTTCCATAGCTATTTTCACCCATTTCCGAATTTTAATTTATTTATAATGAATTTATTGAATTTTAATAATATTTCCTTTCGTAATAATTAGAGATAAGAAATCATTCACGGATTAGGAACGCTATGAGGAATTTTCTTGTCAACGAAAATCACGGATATTTTCGTTCCACATTTGCTTCTCCATAATATATTTTATATGTATTTGAGAATAATAATAATTCGAAGAAGTTCATAGGTCTCAGAAAAATAAATCACCTCAGTGGAATCCTTTCCATTCAGTTCTTCCGCTAAAGATGGTAACCGATCAGCAAGGAGACTTTGTCCTTTCTCTACCGATTCATGTAGCAATTGTGCTTGGAGATCCTCATTTTGTTCCCTCATTAATTTATTCTCAGATCGAAGCCTATCAATTTCAGCTTCTAATACTGATATCTGAAATATTATCTTTTTATCACTACTGATAATAAAAAATAATTCTTTTTAACTTGTGAAAAATATTATTATCTGATCAATGAATGCTGGTTTATCTTTTTATCAGTGCTGATAATAATTCTTAACTTGTGAAAAATATGATTATTACCTGATCAATGGACCCTGATTTAGGCGTGGAAACAAATTTTTGACGCCTTAGTTCATCTGTTTGTCTTGATAATTCCTCTACTAGCTCAGAACTACTATCAATATCTTGTTGAGCTTCTTCTCGAAATCTGAAAAAAAAAAGAAACAGATTTTTAGATGGTAAAAATTTGAATCTTCTTATGAGCGAGCATTTCGATGAAAAACCTCTTATATTCGCGTTCAAGTTTTATGCGTTCCTCCTCAAGGCTTTCACATAATGCATGTGATTCGTTTAGTTCTTCACGGGTATTTTCTAATGAAAGTTGCAAATTTATTAATTCTTCATGCTGCTTATCTTTGTCTTTTCGAAGAACAGCACAATCTTTTTCCAGAACCTAAAAAATTTGCTTTTAGAAAATTGTGGAACTTTTGATTTCGGAGAATTCGTAAAAAAAAATTAGTGATAAATGGATTAAAAAGATTAGAAAATGTTATAAAATAGTATAAAGCGATTTGAATAGAACGTTGGCGAATATAAAATTTGACTCGCGAATGTTGCTAACAATGATAATTAAATTTTAATGTGAATATTTGTATAATTTAGAAGAATTAAAATTTATCACTTATCATTTGACAATAGGAAAAATCTTAGCGAAGCGAGTTAACCTGATATTTCAATATGCAACTTTCAATTTCGAGTTGTTTTTCGCGTTCCATTCGCGAAATAATTTCCTTATTACGAGCTTTTTCTTCGGCCAATTTTTCCGTCCATCTTAAAGAAATCTTACCACAATTCTATTTTATTCAATAGTAGAGAAATATGTTTGTCTTTTAGGAGCACTAATATAGGTCAAATAGAAACCAGGTTTTGTGGATTCGATAAATTTTCATTCATAACTACTTTTAATTGTCGGTGAAAAAATATTGATGTCTATGAGAACCCCGCAGAAAAATAACTCCCTTCTAGGAGCTATGTTTCAAATAAATAGCACTATTATTTATGAAAGCATAGAAGTATGAAATCAAAACATGAAAGATGAAATCCAAGTATTCTGAGGATTTATTTGTGCCATATAGCTTAAGGAACGAGGAGAAAAATAAGAGATACCAATAAAAGATTAGAAAAAAAAGTATTTTTTTTATATTTTCAATATCCTTTAATTTAATGGTACCATTCGAAATGGCATAAATGGCACCTTATTTCGGCAGCATGAAGTTGTTCCTCGAGAATGTGAACGCGTTCCGTGAGAACTGCATTATCTGTCTTCAATCTGGAACGCTCTTCGCTAGATGACATCCGCTCTTCTTCTAGATCATTCACTTTTTTCGATAGGGATGAAACCTTTAACAAAAATTACATTATTCCAATAAAAATTGCCTAGGAAAATAATTATTCTTAGTGGTAATAATTTATAAATTTAAGAAAAAAAAGGCAATAGACAAATTAATTAAAAATATATATAAAAATAAATGTATATAAAATAAACTATATAAATAAATTTATGTATTTTATATATGAAAAATATGCCACGAAAAAATAATAAAAAAATTTAATAAATCAATTTGTTTAATTGAAATTTCGAAATTTGCAATTTTGCAATAATTTACTAATTTTTCTCTAAAAGCAATTATTTTAACTGGAAAATCCTAAAATATTGAAGAAAAATTAATTGGAAAAAATATCGAAAAAATAAAAAATAAAAATTTTCAAAAATTTATGTATGTATATAAAATTTTCAAAAAGTAATGAAGGAAATTTTTTATAATTTTCATTTTTTATAATTTTTTTTTTATAAAGGAAATTTATAAAAATATTTATTTTGATTCATTTTTCTTTTTTCTTCTAAATAATTAAATAACCAATTTTACGATTTCTCTAAAGAATAAAAAAGAAAAATGAAAATTTTCCTTCAAAAAAAAAGACGATATTTATTAGTGAAAATTGAAATTTTTTCGTATGCACAGTTTTTTTCTATATTTATAGTACGAAAAATAAAAATGATAAAGTGATAGGATCGAATTTAGCATTATATTACCATAAATCTACCAAAAAAGTACCATAAATTCGACTTTTCGTCAACGAAACGAAAATAAATTTACTATAAAGAGAAAAAATTAAATTCTAGGTGACTAATACTTAAGCGTAACTATACACTTCGTCGGTCATCAAGTCAAATTTCTCTAGTGAAAATTACTGGTACCATGCGATTTAGAAATGATTTAGAAATGATCTATAAATTTCACAATTTCACGATTTCAAGAATAACAAATGAATAAAATCCATAAATAACTAAATGAATGAATAAAATAATTAATCGACCGACTGTTTCGAAATAAAAACATGGAAAAGAAAAGTTAGCGCTAACTTTTGATTAGTTTAAAGTGATGATAATAAAACAGGCATAACAACATTTGATCGTTAGTAAACTATTTTTTTTTTATTTTTTATATTTATTTATTATTATTGTTATTCAAGAACTCAAGAATTTATCTTTTTAATAAATTTTTATCTCTGAAATATGAAAAATTTCCTCCTTTCCTTTCTCCCCGCATTCCGATATACCTTTTCAATAGATCGTATTTGCCACTAAAGAATATTTTCATTATGTTTTCTTCTCAACGAGTATTTTTACCTATCGTTCTTTTATAAAATTATTTTTTTCCTGTAGCTCAGGCAATAGGATTTTCTTAAACTATTAATTATTGTCAACAAGTGGTGATGATTCGTTAAATAATAAAACTTCTTTAGATTTTCTCTTAAGATTTTCAAAAATAAACACAGTGACAAGAAAACAATATTATCGAACTATATATACAAAATCGCTTAATCGCCTTAATAATTTATACTTGTTGTTAATTTTGTTATAAAAATAAAAAATCGGTTAATTTTCGATAATTATGATCCGATATATAAAAAATTATCATTATATTTATTATTATCAGTTATCAATTCCAGAATAAAGAGATATTGCAAGAAGCGCAAGCGCCTCATCAGATCTTTTCTAAGCAAATTCAATAATCATCTTCTTCTTCTGCAAGCATTCCGTCAACATTCCTGGTGAGAGTCTTCTTGGCATATTTGTCTAATGGTGAAATTGTTTAGAAAACGATTATTCCAAAGCCTTTCGTCTGAGATTTATTTGTGAAAAAATATTGGATTGGAACTACTCGAATTCCGCTTCTAATGAAAGAGAATTTATCTGGAAAGGGAATCGGATCCATATTTGAAGAATTCGAGAATGACGACCAATACTTCTAATCATTATCATTATCCTTCGCTATCATTCTCAGCAGCAAGAAGAACCCTCCCATAATAAACCAAAAAATGATAGGGCAACATTTTTTTGGTGAAGAAACTTCCTAACGCCAAAAAAGTTGTAAAATTACAAAATACATATGGTTTGTTGGCTCGATTCGGAGTGCTGAAGCGGTTCTACGAAGAGGTGAACTTGTCCAAAAAATTCGTATGATGCAACTCGCGACTCTCCTGTATATCTATCGTGGAAGGTGTCTCCCTGGCATATTTGTCTAATACGATAAACCAACGGAACGAGTCCAACCAGTAATGGTGAGGATTCTTTAAAAAAAAAAAAAATCTATAAAAATTGCCCATTTAGAAGCAATAAAAAAAGCCAGAAAGAATATTTCCAGCAGAGAAAAGTCGAGTCGCTTTTTTAATGACAATGATAAATATCTTAAAAAATGAGAAATGTTGCCAATTAAAATTGCACGTCTAAAGTGCTTATTTTATTCAATAAATTATGGTACTATCTGATCGAAAAACCTTTATTATGGATTGCAATAGAATAATAGAACAAAAAATTTCGTAAAAATTTTGCTATATTTTAAAAAAAATCGAGAAAAAAAAATATTATAGTACGAATGCGAAAAAAGGCAAAAAAAACCAAAAATTTAATTAATTTTATAGATAAAAAAATTTTGAAAAATGGAAAAAAAGATTTTTGGATAGAATAAAACTGACTAAATGCGCTGTATTTTTCATTTTTCATACTTATAATATTACAAGAAAGATCGATCACTTACCGAATTTCGAATTTCAGTATAAAATTTTGGTAATAAACTCATCAAAAGAATAGATTTAAAATATTCACTATTACTGATTAAGGAAGGAAAATTTTATTTTATTATATGATCTGCGAACTGGCAAATTGCAGGTGAATAAATAAAGATAATTATAAAATATAATTATCATTGTCAATGATTAAAATAACTAATATAATACGGATAAAGTGATATGAGACATTATTTTCTATGGCTTTAAATCCCTATATTAATTCTTAATTCGTTTGATAACAATAGTGATATAATAATGATAGCGATTTGTGAAAGTCATAAAATTACAATGCTTTCTGGGCATAGAATTCAAGTTTTAAAACCTGAACTGCAAAAAAAAAGAATATGAAAACTTTTTTTAAAATCTACCTGACTGCAAATCTCATTAAGTTCATGCATTGGTGCTTCATTATCGCTAAAATTCATCAATTCTGGTTCACTACCAAAACTGCCTCTTCGTGAGCCTCGAGTTCCATTAGTGTAGAGACGAGAAGCCACCGAAGCAGAACTCGAATTATTCAAGCGCATAAGTTTTGACGACTGCTCCTGTAAGAAGAAAACCAATTATCCAGCATTGAACAAAGGATTATTCAGAATTATTCAAAATTTTATTATTATCAAATTATTTACGAGTTGAACTAATAAAGTTCAATCACTGAACGAACATTAAAATAAATTAAGACAAAGTACCACAAATAAAAACACAGCCAAACAAAAACAGAAAATTTCTTTCTTTCAAAGCGGTTAAAAAGTCGATTATAAAAATAAAAGGTGAAAAAGCTATGAAGCCTATTAAAATGAAAATAATTATGGATATGGATAAAGTATTTAAACGAAGGAAAAAATGATTGCAACCAATCCCTGCAAAAGTTTGCCAAAAATGTAAAAAAGCTAAATTTTCCTTTAAAACTCCTCCTTAACATCAACTTAAATTTCAATAAATGGCAATAGAAATCTCTAAAAAAATAAGAAAAAATATAAAATGATGGAATAACTTTGGACAAATATAAGACATACGAGGATTACAATAATCTTAGTGAAAGCTGAGTCTAGATTACTGAAGAGTTAAACTAGCTTCTTTAGTGATAAAATCGTATCTTCTCCAATGATAATGATAAATTCTTCAGACTGAAAAAAGGAGAAAACCGAATCTAAAGATGAGAAATGAAAATATAAACACTACTAATTGATGATAAGAACAACCAGAAAAATTGAGTGGGCTAATGCCAAACCATCATAGATTCGATTATTCTTGTGCTTTAATGGTAATCATTAAAAATCAATCTCCACCTTATTAATTAATAAAACAAACTAAATCAGCGATAATTAGTTAAGAGATTATGTGATATGATAAGAGATGATAATAATGAAAACATTTGATAATCATTCAATTTTTATACGCCAAATAAACTGAGACATCGTTAAGATTAATCAAGGTTAATTACATGTTTGGGTTAATAAAGATTAATATTGTATGCGTGGGCTAAAGGAAAAAAAAAGGGTGAAAATTCCAAAAAAGTTCATTTAAAACAAAATTAATGAAAGGTAATAAAAATAAAAATCTGATCACCTAATTCGAATTCGGATTCGAAATTGAACTAATATTTTTTTACAAATAAAAGGTTTCATTTCCTGGTACTCTAAAAAATTAATATGTCAACTACAGTAATAAAATGGTTTTATCATCTTCAATTTTAGATATGAGATCAGCTCATTGTATGATATGAGATAAGAGACTTTCGTTAGGAAGTAGGGACCACTTTACGAGTATAAATTGCTTGCTAGCATTTTTCGGTGACAAATTTATTATATGAAGTCCCGGAGGAACGATACGACATAGCCTTGATACTCGAAAGGATTCATTAACCACATATGCAGTAGACTGGCAATATGCAGAGTAACCACAATGGCCTTGGAAAAGATATTCAAATGCCGTAATGACAATGCCGTAATGTGATGACAATGCTTCAAAGATTAGAATTTTTGAAAAAATAAGTAAAAGATTAAAAATAAGATTAGATTTAAAAAAAAAATGTAAGCCATGGTATATTATCTCTATGGATACTTGCACTTAAAAGAAGCACAACAAAAAGAATATTAATGTTTTTGTTGTTGAAGAAAATCCTGAAAATATCGTCGATAACTAAGAAATACCAAGCCGATGGATCATTGAATGAATCCAGGACCCACTCTCACTCGAGACAATTGAACAGGCTTAAATTACCCCATTTTTGACATATTATGACATATGAAGATTCTCTGGATCTATTGCTGGCAACGATGCATGAAGAAAAGAGAACGACCTAGATTCAATTAAAGAGATGTTGATGATGAACGTACCGCAGATAGCCTTGAAAGATTATATTAGAGATCGAACCGATTTCCTTGAAGACAATATACTTATATAGTAAGAAGCGATTTAAACGCCACATAACTAATCAAGCGCTTATGAGCGAAAGAGTTGCTTTGATCGGCATACAGCATTTATAGATGCAATTTCCTGTTTCTTGATAACAGTGAAGCGATTCTAAAATCCGAACTGGTGAAGTCGCCACTACCTATGTCTTCAAGATATTCTCGGCAAAAAAGCAGAAGAACCTGCCGATTATCACAAGAAATTATTAAACTCGATTTATCATGATATTAAAATTCATTGTCAGCAGTGGTTTTCAGGAAATAGAAAATTTAGAAATAAAAAATTATTTCAGTCATTATAAATAATATAAATAATATAATAATAATATAATATAAATATTAATATAATATAAATATTATTCTATTATTGCATCATAAGAAAATTTCGTTCTTATCTCCAATCATCTTCAACTTCGAGTCTTTACAGTTATCACAGATCTGAGAGTTTTGCGCGGTATCTTAATTGTTCCTAGCAGTGGTATGTGTTCTTCTGGACAGAGGTCTCTGAAATTATTCCGGGAATCTATTGAAGCTGTTTTTTTCAGGATCCACAGCTTGTAGTACCACTGGAACTATTTACATATACTAAATTATTAATACTTATTTGCAGATTTCTTGGCTTAAAATCGAAAAAAATCTTGCCTTGTTAGAAGAAAAATCTGAATCTTCTCCTTTGCTGGGTTTTTCGAAAAAATTAAAAAAGATTTTTATGCAAAAAATATTTTTTGATATATATTTTGAGGAATTCCCTCAGTCCTTATCTAAATAATATTTATATTTAGGTCATTTTAGTTTATTCGTTCATCAAGATAAATGGACTCTAATTGCCGTTTTATTCGTTTTATTCATTTTCTCCTACTTTTCCACAATTTTATTTAATTGAATCGAATGAATTTTGAAATGAACTATATGAAAGTATTTCAAGTGAAAATTTTTATAAAAGATCATAATAAAATGAAATGACAATACAAATCATATTTGACGAATTGATAAGTTGATAAATTGATAAATTTGATAAATTGATAAATTCAATTCAATTTAAACCATTGCAATTCAATTTTAATTTAAACCATTGCAATTCAATTCAAATCCTTTTCAATTCAATTTTGATCTAATTCAAAAAATCAAAAAAAATAAAATTTTTTATAAAAAAATGAGAAAAATATGATTAAAAATTTAATAAAATAAAATAAAATGAATTGGGAATTCTATGCAAAGCAATCGGCAACATTAGTGGATAAACGTACATATCGATTCAACGTGAATAAATCAAATCATCGCAACGATCCGATAACAAATAGAGGGATTCAATATGGATAAACCAATGTACCAATTGAGAGTAGGAAAACCATCGGATCGATTTAAACTGGATCGTCTCGATTCAGCGTGAATAATACGAATTTTATGTAAATCAAACCATTGCATCAATTCGAAATGAATAAACCATCTTATGGATTCAACATCTTATGGATAAACCATTTTGTGAATTCAACGTGGATCAACTAATTTACGAAGTCGACATGGATAAACCTCTGCACGGATTTAACCGGATAAACCATTTTGTGAATTCAACGTGGATCAACTAATTACGGAGTCGGCACGGATAAGCCGCTATACGGATTTAACACGGATAACCCGACTTACGGACAAATCATTACAACGATTGTTAACAATCGGAAATTTTCAATATTTTTAAAAATTCAGAATCCAGGCTTAGGCTTAGGCTTAGACTATAAAATGGAGAATGTCGAAAAAAGCAATAAATGCCGAAAAAGAAAAATGCAAATCATTATAGAGAAATTTTTATAGAAAAAAGGTTAAAGGTTAAGGATTGACATTTAATTGAAAATCATTTGGCTTTTCTTCTTAATTATCTTATTATAAGTGAATTAATTTTCTTTAAAAAAAGGAAATAAGTTTTTTTTTTAAGTTTTTCAGTTTTTAAGTAAGTTTCTTCTGAAGAATCTCTTTCATCTTTTCAAATTAAATTTATTTAATCAAATTAAATCTAAATTTATCATAAATTATTTAAAATATTAAAATTATTATAAAATTATTATAGAATATTATAAAAAAAATTTTAAAAAATATTAAAAAAAATTTAAAACGCTAAAATTAAAAAAAAAATTATTAAGAAATTATTAAATATATTTAATCACAATAATTTTAGCGTTTTAAATTTTTTTTAATATTTTTTTAAAATTCGCAAGAAAATAAATTTTTTAATAAATTTAATAAAGTTTATTAAATAATTTATTTGATTTTATTTAAATATTTTTTATTTGATATTTGTTTAATATTTATTATTATAATATTTGATATTTATATTTATTTTGTATTACAAGGAAATAAAATGATTCGACATGATAAAATATTTTTTTAAAAATTAAAAAAATTAAATTTTAAAAAAATTTTTTTAATAAACAAGGAAATAAAATTATTCGACATGATAAAATGAAACAAATATCATAAAAGTACACTTAAATTTAAACTAAAACTATCACTCGTTTTTCATGTTAATTTTTCATTTTCTCCACATTATCATTTTTATCACTAAAGTTATCACTCATTTTAGACAGCATAATTCGGCCTCTATTTCCCATAAGATTTATTAAATCTAAAGCAAAATCATGAAAAAATCCGTGTGGTGCTGAGCAATGCACCTACCTGTACTTCAATTCCCAAATAATCCTTCGGGCTAGAACGTCTCATTTTACCCATATAATTATTTCATTCGAATGGCCAATGTAACAGACCAAATCACTTTTCTAGCCATAAGAGCCAAACAAATATATATGAAATATATATGAAACTTAGACAAGTCAGATTTACTTTTCTTTTACTTTGCACAAGAATTTTCTTAAATTGGCCATATCGATGCAACTTTTTCCATATCTTTAATCATTGAACATAAATATATATCTTATTTGATCCTTTTTTTTTCTCCCAGCACAATTCATCATTTCTGGTTTCGCCACTGATTATTAAGATCACTTCGCCAGTTAGAGAATCATTTAGGGAATAGAAGTAAGTATGGACTTACTTAACCAGTTACTCATTAATTTATGGAGTTTATTCTATAGAAAATAAAGGTAATTAAAGTATTTACGCTTGAAAAATTGATAACTAATTACTAAGTGAATAGGGGAAAATAAGCCGATAACTTCAATAAAACAAATATTCTAATACATATTAAATGAGAAATAAAACAATGTTACACAATGTTTTCATTTTTATATTCCTCATAATTTATATTATAAACATATTTCGCGAAAAATACTAATTTACAATGGTGCTAATAGCAATTCAATTCAAGAAAAATTATTAGCTACGGATCGAATAATTTTGGAGACGTTTTACCTTTGTAACAGCGGAGCGAATCCAGCGACTAATGGTGATAAAATTTTGAGAGAGCGAATATTTGTTATAAAAATTTATTTAAAATTAAAAATATGTTTATTATAAGAAAAAAAAGAAAAATTTTTAAAAATTATTGAGTTATAAAAAAATTTAAGAAATCTACTGAATTTGTAAAATTTTAAATTTTTAAACATGGAAATATAATGATGGATAGGTTTTGTTTTAGCTCTATCTTTGGCTATAGCGGCTTTTATTTTAGCTAAATCTCTAGATAGGTGAAATAATTGCAAGCTTAGTTATCAAATATGATAAGCCTAGGAGTTAGGCACATTTTCAGAATTCAGAAATCGTTCAAACTGAAAGGCTCACTCAGATATTTCATATATATATATGGCTTATCGATACAATGGCCAATATTAAACAAAATTCGTTAAAAAGCTTTGTTTTCCGATATCGCTAAGATGAATGATGGATGAGTTATTTTCGAATGAAGACAATTTCATTTATTTATAAAATTTTCGTAAAATAGATTTCAAATAGAAAAATAAAATTGGTCAAAAAAAAAACAGCTGAAATTGAATATTTGATATTGAAAAATGTAGAGAATCGCTATAAGAAAATTTTACATTTTATATAAAAAAAATTTTATAAAATAAAAAATTTATGCACGAAAAAAAAATTTGGTCTTTCAATTTTAAAATTTTAATAAAACAAAATTTTAAAATTTAATAAATTGGCTAAATTTTCGAGTTTTGCCAAAGGCTTTCTTCTCTCTTCTCTTCTAATGGTATTCACTTAACCATTCCACTTTGATTAGCTTAGGCTGATTATTCGAAAATTTTAAGATCATTCGCTTATAGGACTTACTCGATGATATAAAAAAAAAATAAAAAAATAAAATATAAATGGTTGCAATCACTCGGAAATTTTTTTTTATATTCCTAAATGAGCCAACAATAAAAAATTCCAAAATTATCCCTGGAGAATTTATTTTCGCCTTTGCGAAAGACGATTAACTCTCAACTTTTGTTTGAACCAATTCCGCATCATATTCCATCTAATCTATCCGAATCCTATTTGCCTATTTTTTAACCATTTTTTTTGATATGTACTTGTCACATAAATTCATAATAAGCACTCGATTATTTTTTTCTCTTTGGCTTACAAAATACTATATTTTTTAAACGAATGAGGCTCAAATGCCTATTTAATTTTAGGCCATTAAGAATTTAGAGCAAGCAATGTCGCTTAGTTACAACAGATAAAACTAGGTTTGTTCTTTTGTAATGAGAAAATGACAATCCAATAAGACATAAAATATGTTTATTCACAGCAAACAATGAAAAGAAATAAGGTAAAAAAAAACTAAGGAATTACGGACTACTAAGAACAGTGAAAAAATAGAATTATAAGATTTCAAATAAAATTAAAAGTCTTAGGGCAAAACTATATAGCTATACAGCCTATACAGTAAAATTTTTTAAATAGTAGACTAATAATATTGGAGGGATTATAGGTAGATTTTTAATATTGCTTCAGGTTTTTCGCTTATTTGAATTTAATAATATTTAAAAAATATAGAAAAGGAAAATAAAAATATCGAAAAGGAAAAGAAATATAGAAAAGGAAAAGGAAAATGTAGAAATATAGTAAATGAAAATGCAGGAAGGAAGGCTAATTTTTCTTTAATGAATAATACCTTTGCGATTTTTGCCATATAATAATTTCGAGTAATAGCCACATTGTGAAGGAATAACAGCCAAAATTTTTGTATTGTAAAGGCTAAAGAGATTTGGCTTTTGCTTTCTTTCTTAGCCAATAAAGCCATTCTAACCAATAATGAAGTATGTTATTGGAAAAAAAAAGCCATATGAAATTTACCTCGGCCATGAGTTTTGCACTGAAAAAATAGCAGAGAACTGAATCTCTTTCGGGTACCGACTTACCGACGATTTGCTATGAAATCACTTTAAATTCCCTGATGAAACGAAATAAAAAAAAAAAAGAAAAAAAATATTGAAAACCGGTCGAAAGCAAAATGAGAATTTTTCTTGTTCAACAATAAATGATTTTATGTTTTTTGCTGGAAAGGAAATAAAATAAAATACTCGTTGAAAATGGATCGTTGAATGAATCTAGGAATGCTCATCAAATAACCAAAAATATGCGTTCGCATTCGTTTTAAATATTTGAAACATATTTAGAATTACTGAAAAAAATTAGAAAAAAATAAGAAAGTAGTCAGCGTTTATTATTTTTTAATTAGTTTTCTTAATTGGTAGTTTCACTGACTCGAAAACATGGAAAAGAATTTACAAGGAGCGGAGTGTCATTTGGCGATAGGCGAAGGCATGGATCGTTGGTTATCATGCCGATTTTCTAATGATACGAGCATTGCCTAACGGACGGAAACAAAAAATTCGAATTGCCTCTCGCAGATAATCGAGATAATCTAAATCAGTCGTTTTGCTTTATCCTTTAAATTATAAAATAAATAAATTGAAATTATATAAATTTATTGTAAAAAAAAAAGAACTAAAAGAAATATCGTTTATTCTTCTTATCGACGAATCGACATTTATATTTTTTTATGAAAATTATGGAATGTTTTAAAATAGAAAATTCGTTCAATAAATGTCTGAAAAATGTGAACAATAACTAATTTGCTATTAATGATTATTGTATCAGCGAATTGATAATTGAGTGACATTCGTATCGATTAAGGTCAAGCAAAATCATAGGTTTTATTCTTATTCCTCGACCTAAAACTGAAATCCGAATAGCGTTGTGCAGCATTAATGAGTGCTTCTATATTCCTAAGGTGATAAGAAGAGAGTGCTCTCATCCTAATTGGCAATGGAACAGAGAAAAAAAAACCACTGGACTAGATTTTAATTTACTTAAATATTTTATATTTAATAAATAAATATAATATGTAATAAATATAATAATTTATTTTATGCACCAAAAATTTTTGTTTTTTTATTATTAAATTAAAATGATTAAGTAGAAGTAAAATTAAATTAAATATTAATAAATTAAATAGTTCGTTAAGTTAAAATAATAAGTATTATATTTAAAATAATGTTTGTAATATAATAAATAATAAATATATATTTAAAATAAGTATTTAAATTAATTTTAAATATTTTTATAGATTCGTAATATATTGAATTGAATAGAATTGAAAAAAAATATATTTATATTTGGCTTCGTACACACTCATTTGTATCTATTATGGCTTGGCTTCGATAAGTAAACAAAGAAATCATTTTCATAGAATTACCTTCTTTTAGACAAATTTTGTCAACAGTCGCTGAACAATTATATTTTTACCAAAATTTTAAATATAATATAGAAATAAATCTTGTAAAAAAAAAAAAAAAATTCCTTCCATCATAGACGAAGTTTTGCATAAAAATAAAAATAAACAGGTCAGTTATGAAATATGCGTCTCATTCTTTTTAAATATTGAAATATTAATTTATATCTAAATTAATTGTTAAAATTTTTTATTATTTGTAGCACTGATAGATATATGCTTTAAAATTCTTACACAAAACTGAATAGCAAAACGAATTATTATTGGTACTAAAAAGAAAGTTTGCAAATTTTAGGACTTTTTCCTTAATCACATTTATTCAAAACTTCAAGTAAATCTAAAACTTTTGATAAAAATTTATTTATTGAATACCAGCCAAGCAGGCGCAAACGCCATGTGCTTGTATTAATAACAACACTAAATAAGAAATAATAAGAATTAATGAAAAAAATAAAAAATAATAATAAAATAAAATAAATAATTCAAAGATGAAATAAAGATATGGTAGTTTGATATGTTTCCTCGGATCAAGTACAAGCATTAAACTTTTGAATCCTCTTCATAGCCTTAATGAATGATTATAAACCTAGCGATATTAATTATTTATTAAGAAAATTTAAGAATAAGACTTATCACCACATTATCACCATTATCACCATTCAGCGATGAAAGAATCAATGAATAACATTGAGCCATATGAAAATTCCATGAATTTATTTTAAATTTAATAAATTATGAAAAATAATAATAACTATAATGGATGAATGATAAACGGTAGTGATAATGAAAAATAGGAGAACAAATTAACTTCCATTTCAAATAAACATTTCAGATATTTTATCGTTGTTTTTAGGTATTTGTAGGAAAATGGATGAAAATTTTAGAGTGATTAGAGCGATAATTTATGATTTTAAGTAAAATTTAGTAAAAGGCATAAGATAAATAACAATTGGGATTTGAGAAATATAAAATAAGAAAAAAAAAAATTTAACAAATATCCAAATGTTCAAAAATAGAAATAGATTAAGGA